AATGAGATGGTGTTCTATACATAATGATAAAGGCTCTGATTGCATTTATTACTACGATGACGTTTTCATGCGTGAAGTGTTTTTTGTTTTTTTTTTTTTTTTTTTTCTTCAAAGTGTGACGTAGTTGGTGTCGATATTCGCGACCGTAATAAAGTAGAATATCCCACGCGATGGCCAAGTGTTATTATCCAATATTATAGTTAGGTAATATTACTATGGAGTGATCACGTATAATAGTTGGGTATCTACCTCTTGGTTTGGCTATTTTAAGGCCTTGGACAACCCTCCTTTTTTGATTTGGTTAGTTGATTTGGTTAGTTGAAGAAAGACGGGATTCCTGAATAGGGAATGATCAAGTCTATCGATTGAGCCTTGTTTGTTGGTTAAGGCTCTTGGATATTACGTATCCGTACCCGAGGAGATAAAGTAGTGCGACAGAAAGTGCAACGTCAATTTAGACGCTACATATACGGAATACTATAGTAGGTAGTATGTACGGCTGTTACGCCAACTTGGCAACTGCAAAGATACCCTAAGTGCATAATAAAGTGATAAAGTGCATATTGAAATGTAGAATTGAAGTTTATGTCTCAACCTTAAAAAAACGAGAAGTTGCCACCAACTTATTAATAATAAGCAAACTGGCAGAACGTGATTGCTTTTATGCAAATCCTGATCTTCCCCGTTCCTTACGTTCATGTTCACGCGCTCGCACCATCCCACCACGTTTCCCACTCTTAATTTAGGTATTTATAATATAAGATTTAAAAGATTTCTTCTTTTAAACATTTAAAATTTTTAAACATTTACAAATTCTGCGTATACGTATTTCCCCCCATTCCCCAGTTTCCCCCCACAGTCATCAAAAGGCGCTCGGGACACCTCGGAGGGATTTTGTAGAGACGATCCCCTCTCCTCGGATGTCAAGGATTTGGACTAGTCCCTTGGCTCTCGTCTTGAGATCGACATAAACTACACCGCTTAGGCACCGAATGGCGAAACGAAGGCTGACCGGTTGGTGCCGAGCTAAGGCCAAGCAAAGACTAGCGAGGTTTGTTCGGAGCCTTGTAATTTATTCGCTTGACTCGGGGGCGCTCTACAAATGCGGCTATTTACTTCCCGCCGTCCGGCTCCAGCCCGCTTTGCCGCCACCGTCGCCGCCGCCATGGCCGCCATGCCTTACCTTAGCTACGTTTGGCAGGTAAACACTAATTATTATCGCGCCCCGGGTTTTAACGGCCCACGATAACCATCAGGGGAAACACGTCCTAATCGTAAACTAATGCTGCTAATGTCAGAATGACTCGAGGGGTGGGCCGGTCCTGTGGGTATCAATGACGAAATGCGGATGAAGATCTTCAGGTCTGCCCCCATAATAAAAGGCACAAATTTTGCCATCTGCTACAAATCACAGCCCAGCCTGACCGTCACATTTCAATTCTCACGCGCTCCGCACGTAATGCCATGCATAGCGTCCGCCCGCGCCGTCCGTTGTTGGCGGTTGTTGGTGCTGCAAACTTCTCGTGGAGTGGACACCAATCTAAGGGTCTTCTCAGACGTTATGATGACATTTCCTCGGCCCTTGCTCGGTGACACCCACCCACGAACTCAACCTCCACAGTCTCCCAGCAGGTTGCTGCGATAGAGGCGTGAGGACCCTTTTTTTCTTTGATACGGACCCTTTTTTCCTGTGATTATCTGGATATACCTGGATATACTGGGATATACTGGGATATACTGGGATATACTGGGATATACTGGGATATACTGGGATTTCCTGGGATATACTGGGATAATACGTATGCGAGGTAAGAGGTCGTGTAAGCAGATCGTGTAGCTCAACATAAACAATATATAAGATAACCTGTGGACCATGCTCTCCTTATTCCCCCCAACAGCCTAGAACTCGTTCTATTTCCCCTTATCCTCCAGCTTTTCCCCCTTCTCCTCATTCTTACCCCTTCTCACTACTCCAGGTTCCCCTAATCTTGTAAATCTAGATTTTCAACCCCCTGGACGAGTCCTACGTAGATAGCTGCGATAGTCTACGACAATGGGGCACAAAGACAACGCCGATGGCGCGCCCACATACTGGGGCAAGTCTGGCAAGACGTTGCAGAGAATGATCACAGCTGTAGCGACGACGGATTTCCTGTTGTTCGGTTATGACCAGGGCGTCATGTCCGGTATCATCTCGGCTCCCGCCTTCACCAATGACTTCCCGGAGGTATATGGGGACAGCACGTACGAGGGTTTCGTCGTGTCCATCTACGCCGTCGGCTGCTTTCTTGGTGCCTGTTTCATTCTCACGTTCGGTGACCACCTCGGCCGCCGCAACTCTATCTTCACCGGAGCTACTGTCATGATTATTGGTGTTATCATTCAGATCACTGCCATGCCCAACGGATTAGGGGGAGGTGCGACAGCACAGTTCATAATCGGGCGATGCATCACGGGTATAGGCAACGGTATCAATACATCGACAGTGCCAACCTATCAAGCAGAGTAAGTTATTACTTAATTCTCACCTCCTTATTGAAATGCGTAGGATTCGGTTCCGCTAACCTTTGTCTCTTCTGTGTTTTTAGATGCAGTCATTCGCACAACCGTGGAAAGCTCATCTGCATTGAGGGCGGCAACGTTGCGATCGGAACCTTGATTGCTTACTGGATCGACTATGGGTGCACATATGGGCCTCATCCCTTCGTTTGGCGATTCCCCATCGCTTTCCAGTGTGTCTTCGCTCTGGTCGTCATCGTTCTTATGACCCAGCTACCGGAATCGCCCAGATGGCTATTGACCAAGGATCGAAACGAAGAAGCAACCACGGTTCTGGCAGCTCTCAACGGTGAGCGCCGGGACGACCCTGCTGTCCAGACGCAGGTTGCCGTCATAGTCGACGCTATTCGTGCTTCTGGCCATGGCGGTGGCGTTACTCCTATGTCAGATCTCTTCACTGGTGGCCCGACCCAGCACTTCCGCCGTCTCCTTCTCGGTGCCTCTTCGCAGATGATGCAGCAGCTATCCGGTTGCAACGCGGTCATCTACTACTTCCCTATCCTGTTCCAGACTTCGATCGGTACTTCGCACAACCTAGCCCTGCTCCTCGGAGGTGTCAACATGATCGTCTATTCCATCTTCGCCACTACCTCGTGGTTCGCCGTCGAACGGATCGGTCGCCGAAAGCTCTACCTCATCGGTACCGTTGGCCAGTGCTTGTCCATGGTTCTCACTTTCGGTGCTCTGATTCCCGGGACGGAAGAAGCGGCTAAGGGAGCTGCTGTTGGTCTTTTCGTAAGTCGACCTATCATACCTTCTAATGCTGTTTGTTTACGTTGCGTATAACTAACAACGCTTTCAAATAGACTTATATCGCATTCTTCGGTGCGACATGGCTTCCGCTCCCGTGGCTGTACCCGGCCGAGATCAACCCGCTTAAGACACGTGCTAAGGCTAACGCAACTTCGACCGTGTCCAACTGGCTGTGGAACTTCTTCATTGTGATGATCACGCCGGTACTACTAAGCAACACAGGAAAGAGCGGTTGGGGTACCTATCTATTCTTCGCGATACTCAACGCTATCTTTTTCCCTATCATCTACTTCTTATACCCAGAGACAGCTGGACGTACCCTTGAGGAGATCGACGTTATCTTCGCTAAGGGTTACGCCGAGAAGATGAGTTACGTCAAGGCTGCGCAAGAGCTTCCCCGTCTTACGGAGCAAGAAGTCCAGCAGAAGGCCCGCGAGTACGGGTTCTGCTTGTCCGACGAGGAGGCTACCGTCAGCATGCACGAGAAGGCCGAGGCCGTCTTGTCGACGCCGCCTTCTTCCGACTAATGCTGTTATGTGACGCGGGGATTCACGATTGGATGATCGTGCAAACGGATCGCGATCACATGTTTTCCTATTTCAACAATGCTCGCCTTTGATTAAGGTTATGACAGTTATGATGTGTGGTTGTGGTGTTCGACGTTGACGCCCGGCACTGCCACATTTGATACCATTATGACGAGTCGGTTAGTAAACCGAAGCGATGCGTGTGCTATATACGTTGGGACAATGGAAGTACCATTAGCGGTACTATATGATCAGGAAGTCCACGATGGGCTTTTTTTCACGTCTGGAATTTTTCGGTCTTTAGGAGGATACTAATCGTTTCCTCTTCTTGTTGTCCTTTTTTTTTTCTTCTTTCTCTTATATATTCCCACGGGGTCGTCGAGATATACCCTCGGGTCAGATACGACCCGAAACCGGATGTTGGATAGACTGGTTAGAATCAGTTTATAGATCTATTAGATTAGATCATTGTAGGTAGCTGCGTTAGAGATGTGGCGAAGTAAGGATGGGCGAGGTTCCCTCATAGGCGGGCATTCATGCATTCATTCCATAGACAGGCATTCTATAGATTATGAATACCAATTGGAATCGCATAAAACAATTAAAAAAATAAACAAAGCTAGTCTGGCCCGATTAAGCATCGTCTTAGTGACTGTGTCGTCGACGAGCTGAAATGGATGAGAATGGTCACAGGTAAGAAATCTCGGGGATTGTAGCCAGGTTCGCGAACCGATGTAACGCGGCGCAGCCCAAGGGCGCTGATTCGCTGGTTATGACATTTTTTACATTTCACTCGACCTATCATCAGCTCCTCGGCGATTGAAGATGAGCTTATGGCAGACATAACGGGTGATGGACCATGGTCTTATGGCGACTTCACTGTAATGAGGTATGTACATACATTAGGTACCTATGTAAGACGACAGGCTACCCATCGCGATACCGAGATGGGAGGCCTATTTACGCGATGTATGTATGTATATCCTCTCTCCTGGCGATCATAGCCGTATGTATGGGCGATGTAATAAATATGCTTTTTTAACCTCACTTGAGAAGTTGAGCCTCACTTTTAGCTGCTGATTGTTGCCTTTTTCTGCTTGGTTTGTGTTTGTTAAGATCGCCGTGATAAAGATACGTACGACACGGCACATCGAACTCACCATGGCTGCTTCTATGGGCAGCGGTGCCCAGTCGCGGCTCATCACATCGCCGCTTGTGCTGGCGCTGTGGCTATTGCTATTTGCGAACGCGGCCGAAGCTAAGAAGACTACTCCTGCTATTACCCCGGCGCCGTCGTCGCGTCCAACCGCCGTGCCTATATGGCTGCCGGACGTGTCCGGGGAGGAATGGTCTAGGTGGCGCGGGAGTATCATTTCTAGCGTATGTATGGCTCTTGGTCTCGTTTACTTGCTTACTTACTTCTTTCTAACTTGCTTGCTTCAATGCACTATGTATCTGAGTTCCTTGTGCTCGTTGGGAACGAAAGGGGGGTTAGGAGAAAGAAAGAGAGAAAGAGATAGAGGGGAAGGAAATAGTGGCTAATAACAAACAACCCTACAGAACGACGTCGAGACCGTATATACCGTGTTCTGCCCCCCAGAGCGCCCCGGCTGCATCGTCGCCGCCGGCAACGACATGCCGTTTACATTCACCGAGGGGCCGGGGACGTTACGTACGGCATACACGATCGCCGGGACGCTGTAAGATTATTTATCCCATCCCCCCTCCCCCATTCTACCCCCTCATCCCCCCTTCTACCCTCTTCTCCCTTCTCCTAACTAACACCACCACCCCAGCTCCATAACCTCAGCCTGCATCCTAGCCTCCACCACAGCAGCCACCTGCAGCGGGAGCACCTGGGTCGCTGCAGCCGGCCTCACGCAGCAGCAGTCCCTCGGCCCGATGACATTATCATTATCATTATCCAACGCCACGGCGCCGCCGTACACGCTGTCCGGCACGGACGTAAGCTGGGGCGTGCTGATGCTAGGGGATGCGCCGCTTACGAGTACTAGGGGAGGGCGCACGTATACTTATTATACTACTACTACTTCGTCGGAAAGTACACCTGCTCCTACGACGACAGGTAACGGGCCTGCTGCCGCGGCTACGACTGGTACCAAGACTGCGGGCGGAGGAGTAGGAGGAGGAGGGGGAGGGGGTAATGCGGCGGCGACGGGGAAGGGTAAGCCGAAGAAGTCGGGTGCGAGGATGGTTGTGGGAGGGGAAGGGGTGTGGAAAGGGGGCGTGGTGCTGGTGGGTTTGGTGGCTGTTTTGTTATGGTGAAACGATATGAATGAATGAATGAATGAATGGAATGGAAATAGGTCTTGTTATGAGGATTTCAACTAATAGCTATATGTTGAATAAATAATGCGAATGGTAATAAGTATTTATCTTATAACTATAAGATTATGGGCTTGGTTTATTATAGATACTAGGTACCTTATGCCGACAGAAATCTATCATGTATACAAGCTAATAACCATACCCTATAATAAGTAAAGATAGGAGGCTAGGTAAGTAATAGTAATGAAAATAACAGCATACACAATAAACAGAATAACGTTTCCATGCCATATTACCAATTAGCTGTGGGCTAGCTGTGTGCCTTCACTACAAGGACAGATACAAGGACAGACACGACGGAATAATCAACAGCTCACTCGTACAATTCATAAGCACTCCCAAATGGTAATAAAAAATACGGGTTGAATTGGACTACAGAGAATAGAATACTACGCAAATCGTTCGTACACACCCACCTCCTTTTCCCCCTGGCCGCACGGATCCTACCGACTCAGCCAACCTTGTCCATCCATGCGTATATGCCTAGGTAACCTAACTCATTAATTCATAATTGAACCGCCCGTCTAAGCCAGGAGACCATCCTACTCGTCGCTAGGCGAATACTGTCCTCCCATTCCCCAGTACTGCTCGGCCATGAACGTCGCCGCCTCCGCCTTCTTCCACATGTCGTTGAACGCGGTGAAGAGAATAACGTTGCTTGCGTTGGAAGCGAAGGCCGTCTTGATGGATGAGAGCGCCGTCGACTGCTGATCCAAGCCCGGAACAGCCTCGCCGTTCGATTCTCCCTGCCAAGGCCAACCCGTCTCCGTCACCACGATACGTTTGCTCGAATCGGATAGCTTGCTACGAATGCTACTAACGGTGGAAGTAACAAACGAGCCTGCTGCGTCGGGACCCGTGTTGGCGTCGAAGAAGGGATGGCAGTTGATGGCGCAGTAGTCAGACTCGTCGCAGAGCTCGGGATGGGCGAGAATAGCGACCGCCGTATCCACAACGACGACAGGTCCTTCGTACCCAGCGCTTCTCAACAGGGAACGCGTTTGGTTCATTGCGCTGATAGACTGGTCCACAGTTGCGGCACCGTCGTTGACTAGTTCGTTACCTACCGAGACGGTGTCGACGATATCCCAGTCGTTCTGAACGCCGGCAGCTATGGTAGATACGGCATCTTCGACCGCGGTGATGTCGTAAATGCCTAAGAATAACTTATTTCCATACTTCTTAGCAGCTGCATATGCCGTTGCCACCTGATCGCAATCAACGCCATACAAGCGCATAACGCCGTAGTCGTTGGCTATCAGCGCAAAGTCCGCATCAACCTCGTCCGCTGTCTTGCATTCTCCGTTGCCTTTGTAAGGAGAGTAAGAAACTCCGTGAAGAGCGCCGCTGCTCGAAGACGGAGAAGCTGCCGAAGAGGACGCCGATTTTGAACTGGTTGGGTACGAATCGGCGGATGAAACAAGCTGAGAAGACGAAGCCTGCTGGGTAGTGGGAGAAGCTGTTTGATATGAAGACGATTCAGATTCCACCACTGGCGCAGCCTTAGTTGACAGAGGAGAAATCTCGGTTGTGGGAGTCGATGCTTCATAAATCTCTACCGTCGCGGGGACATAAACAACCGTCTCGGTAGTGGTGCGGATTGGATTATTATTCTGATCCACATAAACCACGACCTCGGGGACTTCGGTAGTCGTACTGTATTTGGAATCAGTAACGGTGACTTTATCCCTCTTCGCAATAGGGGCTCTATTTGCCCTATGCCGGTGGAGATGTTGATGTTGATGTCCTGATAAACATATAAGCTCTCGTCCCTGGAGGGAGATAATAGATCAGAGCTATGACTTACTCGGCTGCCCAGCCGACAGGCCGAGGAGGGAAAGAAGACTAAGAGAAAGTAACGTAGATCTCATGATGTCGATATGTTAACACGATGCTGGGTATTTCTAGAATGAGCGTAATCGCGAAACTGCGAAGAAAACAAATAATGAGCGGCCTATGTTGTTAGCGAGGCAACGATTTACTTGAAGGAGCGACGATAATAGAGACAAAAGGGGACATGAATGCGGCAGATGACACTCAGTCAGTGTCCATTAGTTACAAGGACTGCGAGGGAAACAAAAGCAGACAAAGGAGTGTGGTGAGAGCTTGTGCTTGTAGGTAAAGAGAATAATTAGGAGACTAGGTATATTGAGGTTCTAGATTCAAGGAGCGAGGTGCCCGTCCGAGAAGATAGTATCAACATAATCGACGCTATGGGGCTGAAGTTGCCCCGGCATCGAAAGAAGGAAAGTGGTAAACAAGGTGAACAAGGTAAACAAGACGTGGTGAAGGAATGATGGCGTTTGTAAAGGGGGTGATCGTTATTGAATACCGTAATAAAGGGAGAGCACCCTGGGATAGAGCCTGGAGGAATTCGAGAGAGTATGTAAGGTTTACTTACTATTCTTTATTCCCGAATTTAGACAAGGGTCATTGTCGATGTGTCGATGCTGCCTTATTTCTGAAATATGAATACGATAGATAGGTCAATAGGTAGTAGAAGGAGTGATTCGCAGTTGACCAGCTAATATCGCATTATCCTGATTTATCGATAACCTCAAAGAAGGAAGGTGAATGATTGTAAGTAAAAGAGTGTGTTAGGTACCTTGGGTAGGTAAGGTATCGTAAGGAATGATGGCGGTCAAATGAAATATATGAGATCTGAAAGTGTTAGTGTTAGTGTGTGTAAGTAGAATTCTCCTAGGGCAACGACATCGTGGGTCAAGTTTGTTCTTCTTTCAATCTAGAACGTCATCAGAACGCGCGGCAAGAACGCTAGAGAAATAAGACCCATGCCTCCCTTGGGTCGAGAACCGCATGACATGGACGTCAATGTTTCATATTTCATCTAATAATTCGTCCGGAAGGTGCCAGGCACCAGGCACCAGGCACATTCATTGGTACCTGCCTCCTCTAAGTACACGTATACCTACCTACCTAAGGTATAGGTATAAAAGGACAAACATCCCCCGGCCCCCTTTTCGATAAGATAAAAAAGACACCTATGTCTGGGGTCCATCACAACGCCACAGTGGGACATAACAATACTCGTAATATTCGTATGGTAGAATTAACAATTAGTATATGGTTCTAGTGTATGGTCTGATCCATCTGATCCCGGCTGTTTGCCTTTCCATCCTGAATATACATTCGTGGACCCTACAATCATTAATCGAAGCGGATCTGAGTACCTCTTATCCATCTTAAACCAAGCTCATGCCCACGTCGTATTATAATAGCCGTTATACATACAACTACCTCATCTCGCGTCATATCGTGAAGCAACGTGAAGCAGTCGTGAACAAGATCACGAGAAACTGAATGTCTCCTAAGCAGCTAGTGACGACGACTGCCGATTGGGTTTCCGGGTCATAATCTTGGTGATGGCGTGTCGAATCGTCGTTCCAGCCTTTTCGATTTCCTTCTTGGACAAGCCCGACGTGATACAGACCTTCAAGGCAGGCTTAATATCTATGTCCTTGGTACCGATACTGCCGATCAGCGGGGAGCTCTTCAATCGCGTAATCAGTACGCCGTTGGCGAGTGTCTGTATATTTCTGTAAGTAGATAAACTTCGCTTATGGTGTTCCTGAAAAACTTACCTCATCCGTAATCTCGAGGAACAGTCGCTCTTGATCTTCGTTACTCAGTCGTCTCGATGAGACCACCTCAGGCTTGAACACCAGTAGCATGATCGGGTTCTCGGGGTCGCTTGTACATCGGACCCATTCGCTACGGGGATCGAGTTGTGCCCTCATAGCTTGAATGTTGTCTCGGCATGCTTGTAGGATATCGGGGTTGCATTGTAGAACATTCAGCGTCTCACTAGCCGTGACAGCAGCCATAGCAGGTAGAGCAGCCGAATAGGTGTACGATGCGGCATTGATACGCTGGTGTCGTACCACGTCCTTTGAACCAGCGCAGAATCCACCGGCAGCACAGAGAGGTCCAGCCATAGAGCCAATGATCATATCAACAGCCTCCGAGTCCACATTCTGCGCCTCGGTAAGTCCTCGTCCGTTACGGCCAAGTACGCCAAACGACCAGGTCTCGTCTAGAGCGATGCGGAACTTGTATTTTTCCTTCAATTCAACCTAAAATGTTGAAAAATTATCAGCACACCATGAGACAGAATTAAGTCAGTATCGAAAAGGCTTGGCAAAAGGGTTGGCTTACGAGCTTAGGAAGGTTAGAACAATCGCCAACCATCTCGAAAAGTCCCTCGGTAACAATGAATCGCCTAGTCAAGATCTTCTTCTTTGCTTGCTCTTCGGCCACTTTCTTCATAACCTGTTCCAAGTCTTCCATATCGTTATGCTCGTACCATTTAATGTTGCTCCGGGAAGCCTCTAGTCCTTTGCGAATCGAGTAGTTGACCATCCTATCAGCTACGATGACATCACCGCGCTTGCAGAAGGTCGGGATAACACTAGAGATGGTAGAGAAAGCGTGGGCGTAGATGATACAGCTCTGGGTACCGAGGAACATGGCGATATCTTGCTCAGTTTGCATGTGGACATCCTGGTTGCCGTAAAACTGCGGGGGACCGCAAGGGCCAACTCCGTAGGTGCGCAGTGTCTGGATCGCCTTCTCCTTAATCGGCTCGCTCGCGTTGAAGTTGTAGAAGTTGTAAGAGGCCAAGTTCACGACAGTCTTTCCGCTGGACAGCTTCACCTTCGGACCCGTCGGTCTATATTGATGCCGTTAGTAATGACTTTTGACTTTTGACAGGCTAAGAGACCAATTCCTACCCAACAATGACAGGTTGCCTCTCAGCTTCTGCTTCTTCAAGCGGCGTCTGAGGAGCGACGAGCGGTTCGGGCTCCCAATCTCTAACGAGCTCATCGATCTCGTCATCGCGGAGCTTCACGTAGTTGGGATCGTGGGTAGGATAGGAAGGCGACAGAAGGTATCGAACGAAGAATATAACGAGTATAAGTTCTATCGCAGATCGAACGGGATCATTCTGGTAGCTTGACTGTATGTATCGAACCAAAACGGCACTTCCAGGGACTTTTTGGAAAGCGTAGGATATTTCGTGAAGCGAAGCCTGCAAGTAGACTTGCGCCTCGTGCAAGTCCATTTTTAGCAATTTAGTATGATGACGGCTATTGAAGAAAAGTCATTGAAGAGTTCAATATCAAAGAGTTTGGTGTTGTATTTGTATGTAGGTGAGCGAGTGTTTCAATTTCAAGAATTCGGGGCGTGAGACGGGGGATAATATTTAGGTATCATAGGGGAAAGGTCGGTAGGTAACGATCTCAAATTGGAAAAGGGTCCAATTGTTTCTCAATCACAAATCACAATTAGTGTAGGTGCTATATAATCCGTACCTAAGGTACCTAACCTTAATCCTCTCAAACACGCTTCCGCGAATCCGGCCACTAGGGACACTAGGTACATACATACATACGGATCCATCCGTAGCGGCGCGTCCAATTGAGGCCGCCTATTAGAAAGCGGATGCCCCACCTACTCGCATCAAGGCTAATGCAAGTTGCATTATGCAACTTGTTAACCCCTTTTAGTTGCATGTATTTACTACTTACGACAGTTTCCCGTTAACAGGGTCCAGATCTTTATCACATCAATGCCGTTCATTCCTTACGCTTCAAGCGCCTTGATAAACGCCGGACTCTCGTTACCCTCGACTACTTTAGAAATCGGCGTTAGATACGCTTTGCTATCACCAGATTCCTCTCCAAGCTGCCGAATGTATAATTCGGCCACTTTAATCCACATGGCCTTTTCTGTCCTGCTTGCTCCCGAACCCTGCCAGACCCAAATAGTAGATCCGGTGTCCAACAGGAAGACATCATTGCCATCTAGATCAGAGCTGTTTATTGCACCACTACCTTCTTTCACTACGTCGAATCTTAGCTGGCCGGAAGCATCTGATAGTCGGAACAGCTTGCGAGGGCGATTGTTGGTAGTATCTTGACCTTTAGACGAGATGATAGGTCGCGGTGCCTGAAATGGTCCTTCGACATCTTCTCCGCCTAGCATAGTAACAATGGTTCGCGATCTCGACTCCGCTTGCGCCACCACTTCGACATCGATATGTTTCGCGATAGTCATATCGTGAACGACTTGGGCGGCCTTAGCCTTCTCCATCGGGCTACAGTTCTTACCCTGCCAGACCCAGATTTTGTCGTTGCGCTCCAACACGAAGACGTCGTTTTCGTCGAGGCTCTGCCAGGTAGGCTCAACTTCGTAGATGAGGATCGAGTCGGCGCGTTTGGCAGTTGGGTGCTTGAAGATCCTGAGCAACGTGAGCGTCTCCTTCGGTTCCTCTTCAGCCTCGACGTGCGTGAAACCAGAGCGAACACCACCAGACAGGATTCGGATGCGAGAGAATAGGGACACGAAGTCATCGGAAGGCTCTTTCTGGAGCTCGCGGTGCTGTACGGCCACACCGTGTAGAAATTCATCGAGTTCGACTGTCTTGTAGGCAGCGGTGCCCGCCTCATCTTGCGTTGTCTTACTTCCGAGCCAGAAGAAGATATCGTGGGCCAGCTTTTCCTGTCCATCCTTGCTTCCCACCTTATAAGAGTGTAAAACGATGTAGCTGTCTCCCTCATGAAAGTCCCCATACTGTTCCCTTGGCCATGGGACCACCTCGAAATCCTCAATTCGCCAGATGTAGAGGCCAGGGGTATTTCCGACTTCTTGCCATGCCGGCTCGGTGGCTGCCGAGTTGTACTTGACTTTATGATCAAGCTCTGTTCCGATGTTCTCGACATTACTGTCTCTCCAATCGTACTCTTTCATATGTACCAATCCTTCGTGGGGTGCCATCTTGACGATATAATAATTTAGTTGCCCCTTTGTGTAGTGTGAAGGTACACGCGAAGAAATAAATATTCACGAGTCTGGGCAATTCAGAATTATTCAGTACGCAGTATCCTATTACAGGAGGATTGCTGTTGACGTAATGGAGCTGAGCTGTTAATGGGCTGTCTATTTTGAAACGGAATAAGGCGGGGGGCTGCAATATCTTTATTCTTATTTGCAGTGATACATACTATGGTATCAGGCATAAGTAAAACGATACTGTTAGGTACCGCTGGAATAGGTTAGGCAGGCCACCATACTAAATTGGTATTAGTTTGTCCAGGGTCTTCTCAAGATACATTTAACATTTAAAAAAAGAATAGTTAATATATCAACGCATTACACGTTTTTTTATAAACAAAACATATATCAAAATAATCTCTGAATAGGCTCAAATTTGGCGTTTTGACTTATGAGTGCTATAAGTGTTGATTTTTCTGTATTTGTTACTATATACATATAAGTATGCGTTAAACTATAACAGGTTAAGAAGCAGCAATACAGGCCACACTTTAGCGCGCGATTTGTGACAGGGGTTTTACTTACCCATTATACCATAGTATGTACTTCTAAATTTAGTGGTCTATGTACTAAATTCCACCGCCAATCCGCAATCCGCAATAATCGTGATACACTAAATGCGATGTTACGAGAGGTGGGAATCTGGAACAAATAGAATGTATAATAGATACATAATAGACCTACATAGTAGTAGACAGACTGTGGAGACTAAATAATTTCGGTTACAGCAATATCAGAAACTTCTCACCATCCAAAACCTCCGTCTCAAACTTATCACAGCTACAACAAAACAACTTCCGGACCGCAAATCTACACTATCAACTATCACCAACTTCCACTCTCAACCGAATAATAGGCAAATCGAGAGCGAAAAAAAAATATGTCGGATAAAAACACCACATCCCAGGATTTTACCTCTTATTACCTGCAACAAAGCACCAAGGAGTTCGCGGAGGATCTAGACAAGATCCGCAACGCCGACGACTTTAAAGGCGATGCGGTAGCCATGCTCGTCAAGTCTCTACAGCAAGGCACCTCTCTATTCTCGGCTGCCGACCAAGAGAGAATACTGAAAGCACAAAAATCTGGAAAAGACAAATAAAGTGCGGGTGGGGAAGATGTACCTAACTTCAATGTTGCTAGAGATTAAAGGAGATATTCAATTTTGAAGAACGAGATGATTGTGTAAAAAAATTGAAAGGTACCTATTTTACGGAGGAGCGACATTACGTAATTCATTCATTCAATCAGCAAATGTGCAGTAACCACCTGCTTTCGTGACTGATACCTACTACCACCGATAGAAAAACCAAGGTTAGAAAAGAGAGAGAAAGAACGAGGACAAAAAGATAAATAGTTATCACAAAAAATCAAACATCAGATGTAGAAAAAGATCGACACGAGCAGGATTCGAACCTGCGCGTCCTAAGACATGAGATAGACTGGATCACATATTTGGATTCAAGTCTCACCCGTTAGACCACTCCGGCATCGTGCCTTGATTTGTTGTTGTTGAATTGTGGCCCGTTATAGCGCTATAAGTAGTTGCTAATGCGCTAGCCCGGAAAACGGAAAACTTTGCTAGATCCATCCTAGCCAATCAGGACGTCCTCACTTACTTATATGTGGTTTAGGTAATTTACGGTCGTAGCAAGTATGACTGAATTCAACTGTTCTAATCGGCCAAGTGCTTGAATTGGTTTACTGCTAGTTATGTAAGATGTCAACTTGCTCGGGTGAAATGTAATAATTTTTTTTTAACTTGAACCTGATTTGGTTCTGTAGGAATGGCTGGCTGGAGATGGGACTACCAATTCAAAGCACTAGTAGGTACCACCGCTTCTATGTACCATGGTATGTAAGAGCTTATGATTAAGCCTCTATCCATTGGGAAGCAATCTTATACAATGAACTCAAAGACATTTCCATAAATTACTACCAGCTTCAGCTTCTACTACCAAATATAGAAAGTAATCATAATGATCCCTTACCCTATCTACGAGGTCAATACCCGGCATTGGCAAGTCTTTACACATATATTAGTTGCTATTAGTATTTACCAAGAACAATATGGTAACAGCAGAAAATTGCCCCTTAAATATTTATTCGTTCGGAGCCGAAGCCTTGTCCCTAACTAAGAATTATTGTCGTGTAGTAAGTAATAACGGGAAAGCTAAGAATACTTGCATATATCCAAGGAACTCCGACCATGATTTCGTAAAGAGAGAAGCCGGGAGCAAGTCTACTCTACCGACCCCCAAATAATAAATGTCTCGTAAGCATCATTCATTGCGCTATGAACCCAAAATGTTGTGCACGATCGAGGCACCACTAACCGATCCCCCCTCCCTCTCTACTGCTGATATGAAGATGGATAAGAAACCCAGTCCTGAGCATCGTTGCGAGATGGTAATAGAAACTATGCAGCATAGTGACGCTGCTATTGTAGTAAAACCGAGCCCCTCTGAACTCTTGAATCCCATATGCGCAATGTCATAACTTCGTACCCCCCTAGCGTCGAATATCAAGACTGGCACGAGCAGACTCGATAGACGGGCGCACAGAACTGCTCGAACTCCTTCGCCTCCTTGCGCGCTGCTCGCTCGGATCCGAGGGATTTAACCCGGTGGATCTTGCAAAGAGGTTGAGAACGTCCGTCAAGGTAACGACACCAGTCAGGCGGCCAGACAGGTGAGACCTCTGCAGGGTAGAAGCTGGAGGAGCCGAAGGGAAATGGCTACCGGTAAGAGAGGTCTGCGAAGAAGATGGAGTCGGGACGAAGACGGTGGGGCCTAGCGAAGGGGTTCCTGGTGCGGAAGGAGACGGAGACGCAGACTCTACGATCCACATCCTATGTGAACGGGTAGCGACTAGCTTAGCCACCGTGTGTGCAAGTGTCGAATAAGGGTTAACGTAGAAGACAGGGAATGAATCCTTCCCTTTCTCGACACCTTCCTCGGTCAATATGACCGATATAAAATGCATGCATGAATTCTGTAGTAATGGGAGGCTAGTTGCGTTGGTAAGGAGTTTGACGTCGGCCGTGGAAATATTGCCGACGACGTTCAAGGCGTTGTCAACGACGGCTACGCTTGACAGGCCTTCCTCGTTCATAAGATTGAGCGCCTCTGTCAATGGACTATCTGCGCTATATGGTTGTTAGAGAACAGCTTAGAGTTAGAACTTGGGACTGATAATGCACGTACTTGACAGCTAGTATTTGCTGGGAGCCAATGCCAACCTCGCGCAAGAGCTTAGGGTACAAATCATCGATGACGCGGAAGTTAATACCCTCGTGCCAGAAGAATTCTAAAAGCTTCAACTGACTTAGGATACCAATCACTTCAGCATTGTGATTGCGAACGAGCACACGGTGTACACCGCTGCCAAAGACCTCGATCGCCTTAGCCAGGTCTTCATCTCCCTGCAGAGTGATAAGAGACTCTTTCCGACAAATCGGCTGGATATCGCGGAGCGGTATGCTATCTCTAGCCTGTGCCCTTCTTGCTATGGAATCGTACAATTCTACCAAGTCATCGCTTGGATGCGCTAATCCGACCACGACTAGGATGTAAGCGTTTAAGTCGTTGTAATCGAATGTGGAGATGGGAATGGTGCTGGTAGCATTCTCTCGTATGATAACGACGTTGCTCGAGGTATTCTTGAGGAGCGCCTGAGGAAATAGTTAGAGATAAGCTGGATCTGGATCTGGATAAATCGATATTGGTGGATCAGGGTTGAGATCAGGGTTGTCTGTACCATTGTGGCATCCTGCACGCTGGTATCCAATTCTACCCAGGAAATGTCATCTTTCGACACGAGCTCCCCGATTGCAACATCGCGCCAATCCCTCCCGGCGAAGCGAGGATTCTGCTGCTTCGGAGCTGGCGGGTGGTTGAGTAATTCCTGAAGAGCGGCCTGGGTGAAAGATGGGTGTCGCTGATTTCGCGGGGAAGGCGGCAAGCCCCTCAGATTCTCTGCGAGACTTGAACGATGGCTGTGGCCTACGACATGACCAGATTTGTGTAAGCTCGAAGAGGAACCGGTTCGTTGAGGGGGTGGCGGTGAGATGCTCGTTTCCTTAGAATTTTTACGTCCCCTAAAATAGAATGTATTAGGATCCATAGTGAAGCGGTATTATATTAGAGCTGTTGACCGCAGCAGAGTATGTTCCTAGGAATATGATGCGGTTATTCGCCTTGTCGCGAAGTCGAGGAGAGGCGGGATGAGATGTCTTGTAGCTTCGAAGCTGTAGCTATGTACATGTACATATAGGTAGTCTACCTAAGGTACCTGTCTAAGTAGAGCTACTTATTAGGTAGTCTTGGCTTCTTCTATCCTACTTGCTCATATCTTAGACTATTGCTTTTACGGATTTGTTATGTATGTTGCTAGTTAGTAGTTCTATACATTGATGTGTGTATGTGTATAGGTGAGGTATGTATGCGTATAGGTATTTGATATCATTGAGGATATTACCTAAAGGTTATGAGGTAGGCGCCTACCTTACATTATATACACTTGCATCGATGAGACAAGAAAGTGCATATACCATAAGGTCGTACCTACCCCAAGGACCAAGGTAGGTATAGTAGATACAGATACCTCTTATGATCCGAATAAATTATTCCAATTGTGGATAGCGTAACTACCCCGTAGGTAGAAACGGCAACCCCTCCTTCACCTTTTCACACCGTCACTCGTCTGTCATTAGCGTCAATCTGCAGCTATTTTATTAACCTTACGCCTTAACAAACCTCAACTTGGCGTTGGACAAGTGGGCCGATAGAATACCTGTCTACTATACCTTCCAACATCCAATATTGCTATAAAAAACGAGGATAATACGTTAAATCTGTAGTTCCACAAGGGAATCATGAACTTGCAATGTTCTAGACGTATATACTTTCTTATGCAAACTAATAGTATACGAGAGTGATTAAGAGGTTGTATAAGAAGTTGTACTACGTGGCAACGCAAATGGGTAGCGCATTTTCAGGATACCTATACGTAGTAGTATAGAAAGCTACAACCAATCGACTGACGACAACCTGTGTTATGCGATACACGATACACGGGCCTTAAACATGCCAGACAAACATTCCAGATATTGATGAGTCTCTATGGCAATGACTCAATGGAATTCATTTGTACTATACCCCATACCTGGCTGAAGCAAATTTGGTACCTAGTGTCCGCCTAGATCGAGATCTTTTAGCTACGTGATTCCGTGATTCCACACCGGGCAGAAGAGGCAGGGCATTTGCCATTTGGGCTGCTGAATTCAAGTGATTCAATAGGTAATCTTATCAGTAAGTACCCACCAGTAACTAGTTATCGATAGTTGTTCTATCTGTCTATCTAAATGATAAGTCTTACATATGATACGGAAGCTGTGTGCCTGACCTAAACCCAATTCGGCGAAACCATCCCAAATCAAGCAATCAAAAGCAGCCAAAAGCAGCTCTTTCAAGTTAGCACAGCTTGATGAAAGCATTCATGCACGGACCATATAGTGGACTCCAAGAGGCCTAGGAATTTATTTTATTTTTCTTGGTGTTCAAAGCAGCGTGCATTGGGAAAAGAAAAAAAAAAGTCCATAGCGAAACCTCCCCTCTTTCGCGACCCCTCTACCGTTGATGCCAAATAAAAAAAAACACGACAACAACGACAACACAACCTTGTAGACAAACTCTTTTCTACTACCAAACTATTTAACTAAATCTACTATTAAGATTGCTTATACGAATATCGCCGAACCTCACGTTACCTCGAGTATACAGGAATTCGTTCCATGAACTTTATTACTATTGTATCTTCGGCGCCCTCTACCTAATCTACGCTCAGAGCCCGTAGTAGGTTACCGCGTCTTAGCCCTGCGGGGCACAATATCTCGAAGCGATACAACTTTGACAAACTTTGATTTCTACCTACTAACAAAACACCACGCCTTCTTCTTCTTCTTTTTCTTCTTCTTCTTCCTCCTTCCTCTCTTAGGTAGAAGTCGTTCGCAAATCGAAAATTCGCAAACCTACCTCGATCATCACAAATCATGTCGGTGCTTCCGGCAGAGACTCACGCAGAGCTAACGCAGCTCCTGCAAGCTCTGCAATCCTCGGACAACACTATACGATCTCAGGCCGAGGGACATTTGCAAAATAGCTGGACTAATACCCGCCCTGAAATCCTGTTGATGGGCCTGGCTGAGCAGATAGCAGCTTCATCTGAATCATCTGTAAGCAGACACTCTGATTGTCTTCTACTTGTTGTGTTTGAAAGACTAACATAACAAACCCTATGTATAGCTTCGTTCCTTTGCTGCCGTCATATTTCGTCGAATAGCGTCAAAGACACGCAAGAACGACAAAGGCGACAATTCTGAGGTATTTATATCGCTACCTTTCGAGCAAGCTTCCGTTATTCGCCAGAAGCTCCTTGAAGCCTTAGCCAACGAGAGAGACCGCCTGGTGCGGAATAAAATAAGTGACGCTGTCGCCGACGTCGCAAGACAATACTCAGAGTCCAGTTAGTCTATTACCGATATTCTCTTTTTTCCTTATTTACGTTCACGATGCATTCGCGACCACTTCCTGTTGAACCTCTTGAGTTCGTTATAGCCCTAAGAGCAGGAGTTAGGAAGCGCTATAGCGCTAATATTAGACCCCTCGAGAGAGCAACCGCTGACTTGTATGTCCCAGCCGAGCAATGGCCCGAGATTCTAGCCGTTCTCTTTAACCTGAGCGTGGCGGCTGACGCAGGTCAACGCGAGACCGCTTTCCGTGTCTTTGCGACTACACCAGGTATTATCGAGAAACAGCATGATAATGCAGTATTAGATGCCTTCAACAGAGGATTCAAGGATGACTCCGTTGCAGTCCGCTTGGCTGCTATGGATGCCTTCGCATCCTTCTTTAGAAACCTCCCCAAGAAGGATCAAAATAAAGTATTTTCGTTGCTACCCGACGTACTCAACATCCTACCCCCTATCAAGGATTCGCACGACTCTGAGGACCTTAGTAAAGCCCTGGTTGCCCTAATCGATTTAGCTGAGACCTCGCCAAAGATGTTTAGACCCTTATTTCATAACCTCGTCATGTTCAGCGTCGGCGTTATACAGGACAAGGAGTTAAATGATCTCAGCCGACAGAATGCACTCGAACTCATGGCTACTTTTGCCGATTACGCCCCGTCCATGTGCCGCAAGGACCCCTCTTATACGACCGACATGATCACCCAGTGTTTAAGTTTAATGACAGATCTCGGCGAAGACGATGACGATGCTGCCGAATGGTTAGCATCAGACGACTTTGATCAGGAAGAGAGCGATTTGAATCATGTCGCAGGAGAGCAGTGCATGGACCGGCTGGCAAACAAACTCGGAGGCGAAACTATTCTGGCCCCAACGTTCCACTGGCTCCCCAGAATGATGACTTCTATGGCCTGGAAGGATCGTCACGCGGCTCTGATGGCCATCTCGGCTATATCGGAAGGCTGCCGTGACCTGATGGTTAAGGAACTCAGTCATGTTCTTGAGTTGGTTGTTCCTGCGCTGAAGGACCCCCACCCGCGAGTTCGTTGGGCCGGGTGTCAGGCTCTTGGTCAGATGAGCACAGACTTCGCGCCCACGATGCAGAAAGAGTACTATGATACTGTCTTGAAAGCCATCATTCCTGTGCTTGAGTCCCCGGAAGGTCGTGTTAAAGCGCATGCCGCTGCCGCATTGGTTAACTTTTGTGAGGAGGCGGAAAAGAGCATCCTTGAACCCTACCTTGACCAATTATTATCCTCGTTATTCCAACTTCTCCAGAATGAGAAGCGCTACGTCCAGGAACAAGCCCTCTCAACAATTGCAACCATCGCCGATGCTGCCGAAGCTGCCTTTTCCAAGTACTATGATACATTGATGCCTCTGCTCGTTAATGTACTGCGACAGGAAACTGAAAAGGAGTACCGACTACTTCGTGCTAAGGCTATGGAATGTGCTACGTTGATAGCGTTGGCTGTTGGAAAGGAACGTCTCGGAAACGATGCTATGGTCTTGGTTGAACTCCTTGCTAATATTCAAGAACATATCACCGATCCTGACGACCCGCAGTCGCAATATCTCATGCACTGCTGGGGACGCATGTGCAGAGTTATGGGCGTCGATTTCTTACGCTTCTTGCCAAATGTCATGCCTCCTTTGGTTGAATTGGCCAGTGCCAAGGCTGACATCCAGCTATTAGATACGGACGACGAGATTGAACAGATTCAGCAAGAAGATGGATGGGAGCTCGTGCCACTCAAGGGCAAGATGATTGGAATCAGAACTAGTACTATGGATGACAAGCATATGGCCATTGAGCTGCTCGTAGTTTACGCGCAGACCCTCGAGGGTCATTTTGCTCCATATGTCGCTGACACGATGGAGAAAATCGCACTACCAGGTCTCGCATTTTTCTTCCACGATCCCGTTCGATTCATTTCGGCGAAACTTGTTCCTCAGCTGCTTAGCTCGTACAAGAAGGCATATGGCCCCGAGTCGAATGAACTTCGGGGTCTATGGGCCGGAACCGTTGACAAGCTGCTCGAGGTGCTTACTGCTGAGCCGGCCATCGACGCCCTGGCTGAGATGTACCAATGCTTTTATGAGTCGGTCGAAGTAGTCGGCAAGGATTGCCTCAATTTACAGCACATGGGCAAGTTTATTGATGGAGTTCACTCGGCTATCGAAGACTATAGGGACCGTGTTGCTAAACGCGAAGAAGATAAGGAAGGGGCTGCTGCCGAGGATGCCGAGGATGAAGCCGAAGAGATCATGATTGCAATTGAGGACGACCAGACCCTGCTGTCTGATATGAACAAGGCGTTCCATTCCATCTTCAAGAATCATGGTCCTGCTTTCCTCCAGCCATGGGAACGTCTAATGTCCACGTACACGAGCTTCCTTACCTCGGCGGATCCTACGCAGCGCCAGTGGGGTCTATGTATCATGGATGATGTCTTAGAATATTGCGGGCCAGAGAGTGTTCGTTACGCTCAAGCTATTAGCACTGCTCTCCTGGAAGGCTGTAAAGATCCCTCGGCTGCCATCCGACAAGCTGCTGCGTAAGTTAAATCCTGCGTCTTGGGTTATTATAGCCCCTTTTCAATAGTCACTAACATCTTTTCAGGTATGGTATCGGCGTGGCCGCTCATCGTGGCGGAGCTCCTTGGTCCCAGTTCCTGGCAACATCGATACCCTACTTATTTCAGGCAACTCAGATACCGGATGCGCGCGGTGAAGAGGCTGTTTACGCCACTGGTACGTTACCCTATTGGATTCAGCACGTATATTAGAAGTCGCTAACGTATGCACAGAGAATGCTTGCGCGGCTATCGCAAAGATTTTACACTTTAACAAGCAAAGTCTACAGGATCCCCAAGCTATCGCAACACAATGGTATGTATCCGACACAGTCACAAATCAAACACAGCTACTAACCAGTTTGCTTCATAGGGTCAATACATTGCCAGTCACAAACGACGAAGAGGCAGCACCATATGCCTACGGCTATCTCGTGGAGTTAATCGAACAGTAAGTCCAAAACTTAAATAGTAGACTTGATATCCATTTCCATTTCCATGCCGTTTAACAACAAGTGGACAAGCTACTATTTATCTTATATATACAGTATGTTTAATAGGTCAGAATACTAACCGTCCGTTTAGACAAAACCCTGCGGTAACTAGCCAGGTCGACAAAGTGTTTGTCTACGTAGGACAGGCGCTCGAAGCTGAAATGCTCCACGGACAGTTGGGCGCACGCGTGGCCCGAGCAATTCAAATTCTACTTCAGTCGGCAAATGTCGACCCGACGCCACTGTTACAACAACACTTCTCGCCCGAAGGCCAACAAATCATTAGACGTCACTTCTCCTAGTTGTGGCAAAACAACGCCCTTGGGTTGGCTGTGATGACTTTGCTGAGGGCTGCGTGATATCGGATTCGCGCAGGGTTGCTCATAGGATTTGGCTGCAATAGATTGCAGCGTAAAGGATGAGAATATAAGCCCCAATCATGACACTACTCACTACCATGGACCGAATCCGCTCACCTACTTCTAATGACGGGGTGTCCCCCCCTTAACCCCCTCATCGGGGCGGAAGATTTGGGAGAGGGAATAATTCAGGGATAGAGTTATACGCCCTGGTGCGACAACCGATGTCGCGGTTGCGGGTGAATGGGGATGAGAATGCTGTTCTCCTAGGCGAATAGGCACGACTATAGCAGAAGAATCTCTGTATCGAGATTCGATACCTAGCAATATAGAATCAAGAAAGATTACCAACGTAGAGGGCCTCCCGGTGTCTGTTGAATATGTGACATTTAAAACGACAGTGTTATGAACTATAGTAGGTAGTCCTACGCCATACATTCAACTACACTAGTTTAAATAAATTTCCGTACAAGGTGATTAAACACCACAACTTGATGCTATGTATTATACACTACGCATTAATCTACATATTGCGCAGCCGAACCCATAATACTACCTGATTTACCCACTTTATAAACAAACCCATGATTTCAATTACTCCTAACCAGAGAAGTGGTATCTTTTGACTCCTTGAAAGCGGGTTCCGTTCATCCTCTCCTTAATAAACGCCGTAGAACTTGTGTCAAACAGACACCAAGAATGTAACTATTACAGAATCACATTTGATTGGAAGGCTCGTCGCCAGGCCTGTTCCCGGGATTCGGATTCGTAGTGGGATCCTATCCCACGGTCGTTCCGGCGACCTTGTCGATTTCCTCGTCGCGACAGCTCCAACCATCGTAAACTCGCATCAACTTCTCGGTTTCCTTATTCATGGAACCGACCCAGTTAGCTAAGGCATCGCGAGCCTGGCTGATTATCTCCTGGCTTTCCTCCTCGGCGGCGAGTTTTGCGGTCTCCTGTCGCTTCTTCTCTTCGGCCTGACGTAGTTCATCTCTTGCCTTTCGCTTCGCGCGACGGTCCTCGACTTCACGGGCGCGATCAGCAAGATAGCGGACGCTATGTCCCAGGCCAGCACTTTCGCTGGATACGCCGCGGTGCGGGCGGTCCAGAGGAGGTTGGGTGAAGAATAACACATGACCGGTTTCGTCGCGTTGGAATTGCTCGCGAACTTCCTCGGGAATCTTGTCATTCAGTGCGTCATCCAAGCGGTAAACTTCGACGGGACGGGGCGGGTTGTAGACGTTGGCTTGCCCGTGCGGACCGGGACTAGGCGCGGCGGCCATGGGGGCTCGCGCGGGCGTGGGCGCAATACGATGCGACGTGTCGTAGGCGGGCATTGGTGAGTTGATTTGGTGGGGAGGCGGGTGGATCGACTGATGGGGTACAGGGACTGGAGTGGTGCTGTATTGAGGGGGGTATCCGTTGTAAGCAGCAGGCTGGTGAGGAGGCTGATGGGGTTGGAAGTGTGGTACGGGAGTCATCTGTGGTGTGGTATGACCATGGCCGCCGTGTGGAGGACCTTGGACGCCCTGAACCGGAAAGCCGGGATGGGGGGCGCCAGCATGGTTGCCGTATTGTGGCACAGGGACCGGGGTGGGACTGGGACGCGGTGCGAAAGGATTAGGCGACGCATAAGCACCAACATGTCCAGGCGTCGGCGTAGCTGGAGCTGGGATGGTAGAAAAGTGATGAGTATTACCCATGGCGATATCACCCTGAGCATCAATAGGACGCGCTGCCATCATTGAAGGACGACGGACTGAATCCATCATAGGGAGAGGCGGAGGTGGAGATGGTGTTGGTTCCGGGGGAGGAGATTCCTGTAAAGAAAGAATGTATGAGCAAGGTAAGAAATTAGATTAATTTTAAGTGACGCGCTCAGTGAGACATTAGGAAAAAAGAAGACGGGGGGATAGCAATGTAATCCTCTTCTCTCTCTCAACTTTTTTTTATCTTTGTAAAATGTCAAAGTGGTCAAGAGGGTAAGAAAAGCTTGCAATGTAATCGATAAGACAGAAAAAAGAGTAAGATAGGGATGGTTAGTAGAGGGGGGCACATTAAATCCATTCACTCTCTTTTATTTTATTTTTTCTGTCCCTTCTTATTCTCTTTACTCTCCTTTTTTACATGTTTGCTCATCCGGCATCAAGGGGGAGAGGGGGGGTTATTGCGATAGCGACGTTTAGGTGCGCGGGGCAAAAAAAAAGAAGAAGAAAAGAAAAAGATATAATGAAATAAGGAGATATAAGAGACAGGAGACAACTTACATTCGGTTCTCTTTCGCGACAATGCACGGCCCCAATGAGGGGTGGCGCGTTAGGTGCTCCCCAAGTTGGCTTGGGTAAGGGATCCGTTGGCTTCGCATCATCTTGAAGAAGATGCTTAATGGGGCTGATCACCTTCTTAAGCTTGCGAGGCGCCTCAAACAGATCCATCTCGTAGTCCTTCTCACGGACCTCGTCAGGCAAGCAGCTCGCCCACGTTTTAATCTTGTTGAGCTTATGCTTCTCCTCGTTATATCGCGCCTCGCAAACATAAACGTCTTTGTTCTTAGGGAACCCTCGCGGCCTGCCTCTGTTGTAGCGAGTCACGAACATGACAAAGCACCGGTCTACTACTTCGTCGATACGATGGTCTCGATACTGGCCCGTCTTGACCACTTCGTTTTCGAGGAAATGCTTCTCGAACCGATGGACCGTTTGTTCTGGGCGGTAGTACCAGCACGCATTCACCCACTTCTGTCCCGACTTATCCTCCCAAGTTCGGTAAATCTGCGCCACGATGGGCTTGGTCAGATCGTTCGGGTTGGTGATATGAACCCAGTCGCCTAAGTTCGGTCAATACTCCTCATCGTACATAATAGAAGACGTGGTAATTCATAAAGCTTACCAACTCTCCAGATCTCCCCTTTATGCAAAATTTCCGGTAGGGGTCGCCTTCCGTCCTCGTCTTCGAATTCGCTATCGGGCTTGGCTTTCTCCTGTTCAGCAAGCAAATGGGCTAGCCGCTGCAACTCGACCGCATCTTTATACAGTTGGCTGTCCTCTTCGTTATATAGCTTTGCGTTCTCGAACATCAAGTCGAGGTCTCTCAACACTTGATCCACATTCTGATACTTCTTCCTCTTGGCCTTACGCTTGATTAGATCCATCGCTATGGGGTTCTTTATGGCGGCGAAGTAGTCGGGAGTTGTCTGCTTGTCTGGAAGCCTCTCAAACGGGATGATTAGCAGATCTCCATCGGGATGCTTTGGCTTTCGGAGGCCTTTAAATAGCGTGTGGATGCGGGCTTCCAGCGGAGTAAAAACCTTAGGAGGACGACCTCGTCTCTTGTGTGAATCGTCATCCCTCGTGTCAGCTTTTCGTCCCGAAGTTGAGTGACGACCGCCCCGTCGGCCACGTCGTCGGCCGCCGTCATCGTCCGAATCGTCGTCTTCGTCATCTTCTTCGTCATCCTCCTCTTCCTCTTCCACTTCTTCCTCATCTGGATCTGGGGGAGGGGAATCCTCCGCCTCGGGAATCTCTCCTAGGTCAGGAAGTACGGCATCCTCGGGCTTGATAGTTCCCTCACTGACTAGCCTTTGAAGTTCCTCCTTAAAGATCTCTCGTAAACGAGCGGCGTCTTGAAAGAATTCCGAAGAAGGTCGATTATAGACCATGGCATTGTGGGAGATGAGGGCGACATCCCTGACAAATTCGGAGAAGGCTGTGTATTGCTTTCTAAGCTTCTTGGTCTACAATGGGAAGGGAAGTATTAGTGTCAGGACGACGCGAAGAGGAGGATCAACTGGGATGGTGACTCACTCGGACGGTACTAAAAGCGATGGGCTCCTTTATAACTTCGTAGTATTCTGGGATCAGTCGTCGGTTCGGGATGCGCTGAAAGTGTGAAGCAACATGGTAACCGCTATTGAGCCCATTGTTAGATGAAATAACAGCCACCAATTAGGTCAGTAGAACTTACTTGTCGTCCCTATAAGTAGAGAGGTAATTTGCCGTGTTTTCAATGACAATTAACATGTCGTGATCGAGACGACCCGGGGTGCGACCCGGGGTGCGATCCTCCTCGGGCTCCCCGTCGGCATCCGCGTCGTCTTCAGCATCTGCGCCAGCTTCTGCGCTCGCGTCTACAGCGGCGTTGATACTCAAGTCTTCTTTAGAACCCTCACCGTTGTCACTAGCATCCCTAGAATTGGCAGTGGCCTTAGATGCGCCCGTATCCTGGGGAGTGTTGTTGGTATTGTTGGTATTGCCGTCATTAGTTGCTTTAGCCTCGATGGACTCGCGAACCTCGACCGCGCTTTCGGCTGGCTTCTCGGCTTCGTCAGCCATAATAAGAGCTTTAAAGCTAGACGAAAAAGTAAAGCCTCAATCTTAAATTAACTAGATAATATAGCTTCAAGAAAAAAAAGGTAGAGCTGGCACATGAGGTTGGGGTTGGACAATGGCGACCAAGCTACAATTTCGCGGATATATAACAAAGTTGCTGTTTCGAGGTTTCGAGGTGGTCCGCGGTTTGTTGGTGTTAGTGTTGGTGTTAGTGACCGGCGCCGGCTGCAAAGTCTCAGTTGGCCGGTTGGTAAGACTTTATCGAAGCTATATAGCCGATAATTACCCGGGTACCCACCTACAATTACACGTATTGTTGTTTTATGGATAAATACATACACTATGTATGTACTAGGAGTAGTATTATATACATGACGGGGGTTAATGGTTCATTTAGGTACTTCGTATAATTAACATTTTATACTTTTAATCCTCTTAACATTACACACATCATTAGTATCACAAACAACAACTCACGAGGCGGATATCAACTATCAACTCATATAACAAGCATCTATAACACATCTATAACACGCAAAATTACATTAACGACCAATTTCCAATGTCTTGTCCAACTCACCATCCCCCACCACCACCTCCCGTTCGGATAACGTATCTACGTGTTTCTGTTTGCGTTTTTGTTCCCTATGACTCAAGAATAGGATAGCGAGGATGGTTCCAAGTTGTGCTACAGTAGTTGCTAGAATACTGATGAATCCGCCACGGAAATTAGGCGCGCCGCTTGCTGGAAATTGTACCACTTGAGTCCCGGCCGTAATAGCTTGGCCGATGGCGTTCATGCTAGCTGTTACTACCGCGCGTTCCTCCGCGTCTCCAGCCATAACCACTGACGCCCAGCCCATAGTTAGGGGCGAGCAAGCTATGGAGCGGTTAGTATAATTATCTCAAGCTAGGTATTAACGAAAGAAGGGAGAGGCGGGTCATTGGTGTGATAACTTACCTGCCTCGAATCCGGTGAGTATAAACCCAGCTAAACGACCGCTCTCACCAACGTCCCAAGCCACAAGCAGTACCATACCAACAAGAACCGGGAAAGTCACGGCGATGGCCGGAAGCCAAAACCGCCCGGTCTTATCTGCAATGACACCGGTAAATAGTGCAACGACAATACTCACTGCCGTAACGATGGTGGGTATGGTATTAATCTGAACGACCGAGTATATGTTGCTCTTTGCTTTCAGATACAGAGAGAACGGTTGACTCCCAGGGAGGAAGTTCTGATCCATCAATGTCCATTGAAGCACGAAGAGGTACCAATGCCAACGAGAAAACACCCGCTTGAATATATCTCGGGTTAGTTGTAGCTGCGGCGGGGCTACAAGTCCTTGGATGCGCTTACGCGCAAGAGCGTGCTCTTCGCTCGTGATGAAACGAGGCTTCTTCCTAGTCGGTACGTCAGGAAAGACAAAGAAGCCGCTGGGATAGATTAGTATTCGCTAAAGAGCTGGTAGTTATAAGGTAGACTCACAATACTGATATGGCAAGCGTAATGATCGTATCGACGATAAAGAGCCATCTACCTGCTAATTAGCAACATACCATCTTGAATCTCTCAATGAACCATGTCCTAGTATAGGGGTCTTACCTCCAACCGGCCAAGCCGTGTACTTGGTTCAGGTTAGTGTAAGCCGCAGCCTGCAAATACCCGGCAAACATAGTCCCGAGCGGGCTCGCAATAAAGAAAAGAGCGACGCGTCGCCCAATTTCCCCTGGCTTATACCAAGAACCGATAACGTAGATCGTCCCAGTAAAAGAGCAGCATTCGAAGAGACCGGTAAAAAATCGCATAGCATATAGCGTCTCGACGTTCTTAGCCCAAGCCAGACCAAAGGTAGATAATCCCCATCCGATTTCCAGGGCCGGGAGAACCCTGTTGGCGGGATAGTGCGTCAGGAAGTAGCATGCTGGAATCATGAAGGTGCAGTATGACGCCCAGAAGGTTGCCGTGATGTAGTTGAGCTGGTCGCCGTACATGCCGAGCTCTTCTTTCATACCGCTGATAATCCCACGTATTAGCAGTCATGCGTGGTGGCATATAATGTTGAGCACTTACCTGACATATGCATTGGTGATGGACTGTTGGTCCAGGTACTTGGTGAAGAAAGACAAGCAGCCGAAGATCAAGATGCTCAAGTCGAGTTTCAGGATTAACCATTTCTCTTCTTCTGGCATGCCCTTTGGATACCATCCGACAGAGCTCATCAGCCTGATCCAAAGACTCCCGATGCGAGACTTGTTATTACCACTGCTCCCGTGCTGGGTGGGCTCCTGTCGCGTCGATGACCATATGGTCGTTTTGTGGTTCTCATTTTCCGACATCGTTATACCAGCACCCACGACAGAGGCTCAAGTCTATGATAGAATGGGGCCTCTATCTTGAGTTATGTGACCCCAATGTCTTGTGAAATGAGGAGGCGTTCACTTATATCAGTTTGTAGTAAAGGGGGTTAGTTAATACTACTACAGATGTGGTTATATATGAACCGAGTCCTAGCTGGATTTAAGAATTAGTAAAGTATCCTATCGGCCGTTACGCACATAGCAGGAAGCAGGTGTTACCAATGGCAGCTTGGCGTGGTCTGTAATGTCGTGATCAACTTCTCTTATGATAACACGGCTCCGGCATTACCCGATTGTTTATAGCGCCGGAGAGCGTATAAGAATTGAGCGCGGTGTCTCTTGTTATAGATATGTTATCTTCGCGTTGCGTTATGAATACCTAGCTGTTTCTTACCAGATTGAGAGTTCCCCTCTATCGCGAAGGTGGCGTCAACGAGACCTGGTATGACGTGACAGGGATGCTCTTTCGCATTCACGATGTTTTTAGGGTATATATCCTCAACAAGCAGCTTTACTGTTAACGTCAATATAAGATAACTACTTATGTAAAGATAGTATACTTAGGCCTGTATTTACTTTACCTTGAGCGAATGATAGGGGGTTGCCGGTACGGGAGCTTGGGTTTCTGACTTGGTTTACGGATGACTCTTAGTATTATCTACATATCAATAGCAAGGTAGAATAACATTAACTAGGCGTTCTATATGAGATATATTTAAACACATCTTTATAGCCTGTGGTGTTATACTCATTGTGGCTACAGCCAGCTTTAATAGAACACCGTAAATCTTTAAACACCGCCATCTTTCAATTTTTTTTCTTGACATAGTTTAGATACTTAAGTAGGACTAAAAAGTTATACGTCCTAAATAAGGAAACAATAGACATATTGGCTTTTTTTCACGTGCGTTTGTAGTCAATGTTTTATAACAGAACTGTCAGATATAGTAAGTACCCTCAATGAGAGTCATACATAAAGTGAATGCTAAAGCAGTTGAATTAAACTATTAACGCCTGCCATTCTTTCCTATGTCCAAGGCTCTGCGCGCCTCTTATATATCCTAATCTTAATAGACCTATCCCTGAATCTACCCCTAACCCACTTATCCCCTAACAGAGAATTAGTTGGGTTACCTTTTAACAACATAAGTAGGGAAATGATACATAGCTTGCAGCTGTATAATAAGTCCGCCGATAAACCGCACTACTGCTAAAGATATTGCACAACTTAATAATGCTAGTTCGTATGGTTAGCAGATTGATAGTCGATGTCTTTTACGCATACCTAGTATAGTCTCAAGTTATACTATTGTTTCTTTACAATACCAACTCTCTTATGAACCAGCCTACTACTTCACCATGCAAAACTAGATAAAAGTGTTACTGTTCATAAAAGAAGCGCTTTTCGTAAAGTATAAGTTAATGAAACATGCTAGTTAGATTAAGCTTACATAAATAAAAGCTTAACTATACATAATCCGTAAGCTCATGTCTCAAACTTACTATAGTTTAATCAAAGCTGCTATTCATCCCTAAAACTAGAATATCTGTTGGACTAGATTAGATCAGACGATCCAATCTCGGATTAGATGATAATCTGTCCTGCACGAGTATATAGATGCGGCTCTCCCGTTGAGCCGCATTTATCTCAATCTTAAAATCATGCATTATTTATACTAGAGAGTCACCCTCATTGCTGCATCGCTGTTACCCCTAATCTGTACGTACGTATAATATGGACTAGACCTTGTCTACCGACAATATCAACAACCGCTTCTAATAATTAACAAAAACCTACTATTTTCCATGAGATGATAATATACACATACCGTATCAACTTACTTATAGCGCCCTTTAAAAGAACAGTAACTATCTTGAACACAAAAAGGAGGCCAACCTAGGTACATACCAATTAAACTAAGCACCCTCATTATACATTCACCGTCATTATATTAACCAAGATAAGACTTCCCCTGCACGCTTAAATATGTCAAATATTATTTATCAGTCACTTATACGTACGTTGCAAAGATACATATAAAATGCAACTTACACCTTACTACATATCCTCCTAAATCGCATAGCATAGTTATGTACAGCTCTCATACCCAACGCGCATTAACTACCTAGACTTGCAATTAAACCCTAGCCCCTGATCGCCAACCGGGTAGGTTAGTGCCAGTTCCCCGTCTCCGCCGATGGAAATGGAGGGGTGGTTTTGTAAACCCAGTTCTCTTTCTTTCTAGATATAACTAACCTAACGACTTACGTGTACGAGCAGCTACGGGAATGTTTGGTATTTGGCGTACATTATGACGGGTCTGGTGTTGTATGATTTTTGATTTTTGATTTTTTTTTCTTACACGAGGAGTCATATTGCCACGTCTTGGTTAGGAGGTTAATATTTAATAATTATTGATAAAATACTTTAAGTAGTTTACTTAACTACCTGATCATTCATCTCTTTGTCTTGGTCTTGGTGGTGCTTCTTCTCTTACCCCGACGTCTTGTGTTTCCTAGGTCTCCGCTGGCCCGTTTCTTTTTCAAGTCATCTGCCCTTTCACTCGCTTGCTTGTTTACATACACACTCACTCACTCACTCATTCTTCAACATACATACTTCCCTCGTTCCGGCTACGATGAAGATCCGATTCAAGGCTCCCTCGGGTGGAGGAACCCTGGAACTCGACGATGCCTCCACAGTCGACCAGCTCCTCGAATCTATCAAGTCGAGCACCGGCTTCGCTGACGTCACTGTCAAGTATGGCTGGCCCCCCAAGGCTCTAACCCCCGATCAGGCCCAGCTCTCGGCGCAATCTCTAGGCCTTCATAGAGAGAACCTCACTGTCGTCCCCAAGGAAGATGCTTCCGCCACCGCTGCCGCCGCGCAGAATACACCGCCTGTCCCAGAACCCGCCGCAACCACCACGCCCCCCGCGGCGGCTCTCCCCGGCCTCCAGTCTTCGCTTCAGGGCAAGGAGAAAAGCAAAGGCCAGGGTATCAAGGACCAGAACATCAGCGTCGCCATGCCGGAAACCGGCTCGACTCTAGGTAAGTCAAGTTAACCATCACTATCTAATGGCGCATTCCTACCGGGACCACTTGAACTAACACCGCGCGCCTCACCCCCAGTCCTCCGCGTCATGCCCGACGACAACAGCTGCCTCTTCACCGCCGTCGGCGGCGCCCTTCGCGGCCTGCGCTCCGGCCCCGACGAGTCCTTCACCGCCGACTCCCTGCGCCGGCTAGTCGTCGAGCACATCCGCGCGAACCCCGAAAAATACAGCGCCGTGATCCTCGGCAAGCAGCCCGAGTCCTACTGCGCCAACATGCTGCGGCCCGACACCTGGGGCGGCGAGATCGAGCTGGCCATCATCTCGGAGGTCTTCCAGCTGGAGATCTGCGTCATCGACGTCAAGACGGGCACCGTGTACCGCGTCGGCGAGGGCAACGGGTACCCCATGCGCTGCGTCCTGGTCTACTCCAACGTGCACTACGACCGCGTCGCCGAGATCTTCGTCGAGGGCCAGGAGGTCATGGAGTTCGACGTGACGCGCTGGGCCGCGGACGAGAGCAGCGATCACATCATCGCGCACGCGCAGGAGATGTGCCGGAAGCTGAAAGACGAGCACCATTATTACACGGATACCTCCGACTTCGTCATCATGTGTAACGAATGTGGTTGGGTCGGCCAGGGTCAGAAGGCTCTTGCGAAGCACTCCCTGAGCACCGGACACTCGAATATCAGCGAGATCAAGGATACCGGCGCATAGACGACGGTTACCTATACTTTTACTACGACTAGTGGGAGGGTTGGGTCCGTCAGGTCATTATAGCAGGAATTCTCGTGTACATAGTATGATATACGGATGCCGAATGCGCAGTCCGCGGAGAGTTAGAGATGGATACCCTTACTCGAGAGGAAGAGCGGCGAAAGACTCGAACGAGACTCACGATCGGTCATGCTTCATACCTACCTATAAATAAGTCCAAGGCCTACCTCTATATTGGTTTGATGCTTAGCATTAGAGAATTACATTTCCCACACCCAATGATACCAATGATGACGTTTGCGTAATATGTGAAGAAGGGAACATTTTAATTTATCAATCTGCGATGAGATTAACCTAACAAGCTAGAGAGGTAGATACAACGATATTCGACATGTACTTAAACCTCACCAAAACGACATAAAACACATGTATACTACCTATTTTATTGTGGTATCTACTTAAGCTTATCTGCCCAAGGCCGAGGGAGTGACTTTCTCGATATGCTATCGACATCGACATCAACACCACCACATCCATTACTAAATGACCAGAAGGGAGATTCTTCTGTCCCCCAGCCGGTTAACCCCCGGTACCCAATGCCCTACCTAACCCTACCGTTCCAACCCAGCTGGAAACCCCGAACGCAATGGTTGAGATGGATGGATGGTTGCGCCCTAAACCCTCCCCAACTCCCACCAGCCCCAACCATCCCATGCAATAGATCATGCAAGCCCATATCATCATTAAAACTGATACTACTATAGTACACAAATTGTATGCAGCCTGTCGTTTGTCTCTCTAGTCAACCTCCCAGCGGCTATCTTCGAACTGCGAGATGCTGTTGCTGCTACTGTTGTTGCTCTGTTTATTTCTTGCCGACGCGTAAGATTCGTCGTCGTCGCTCCAATCGCTAAATTCGCCATCGGAATAATCCCACTGGACCGGGATCTTCTCACCTCCTTCGCCGATGCCGAAGACAAGGCCTCGCCATTCGCCGGCGAGAATTCTAGCGGCGACTTTTAACATGATATTTACGAGATAAGTCGGTGGGCTTAGAATAAGCTCTACCGTCTTGTTTATTATCGTGGCTGGTAGCCGACGGACAGCAGCCATACGACTCTGAGGGGTTTGCCTTGGGGGTGGCGAGAAGAAGTTAGCGGGAGGGGGTAGCGGTGATAGAGCCCGTCGGCTCATAGATAAGCTATGAGGTCGTGGCCGCGGTCGGACTTGCGGTTTCTCTTCCACGCCGGATGCGTGCGATGCCTTGGAAGACTCGGCAATAGTCACATGGCTATCTTTACTATTGGCGGGACAAGGTTGGGAGGGCGAGGCTGTTTCGTTAGCATCATCTTTAGCCCCTTCAGAGCTTGCATCAAATGTTTTATCCGTCTCTGGCGTATTTGTGTACGCCGGATTGTCCCGTTCATGCGGAGACTGAGGAGGAAGAACGATATCATCGTGTGAGTGAGGAAATTGAGATTGAGATTGAGAAGGCGTGATTGGGCGAGACGATGGCGGCGACGGAGGGAGCGGGTTGGCTGGTGAATTCCATGACTGTACACTATGAAATGAGTCGCTTGACCCTGCAGGAGAACTTTCATCCGATTCTAAAAGACGTGAATGCGGCGGAGGATGGGGCTTCGTAGCGCCTGATGATTCTCTCGACTTTGAAGGGAGCGAAGGCACAGTAGTCACCTGTGGAGGAGCCGTGTAGGTTCGGCCGGCTAACATTCGGCTCATCCGTTTCTTCTTTAGATTGATGGGTGCGATACGACCGGATCCTTCGAAGGAAGAAGGCCCTTCGTCGACTTCTTTACCTATGACTTTCCCTTTTCTATTGCTAGGTGCGGGGGATTCTTGCAGCATTGACTCCCACTTTTCGAAATCGACAGCTTGTGATGTTTGGGGTTGCGTTGAGATACTGTGAGAATCTACTGGGCCTAATAGTTGCTCAGCGTCTTTCACAGCTAAGGTTGCCGTCTCCTCCTGAGCTCGCATAGCGCGCTGATGGTGACTTGTGCTCGTAGAGCTGACGTCGCTTTGTCCTGATACCGATTGTCTGGTATTATACGAAACCACATTATCCTTGACAATGTCCCATGGGATATTTGCTAATTCCATCACGGTACCAAAATTGGAAGCCAGAGATTGTCCGCCGTCCTGGAGAGCCTTTAGAGCCGCTAGATCTAACTTTTTAGGAAGAATACTATCTTCCCTCTCCTCGGCGACTGTCGACTCTTCAGACTCAGACATCAAGTGTCCGGATTCCGGCTGATAGTTGTATTGTGATAAATCACGGGGTGTATGTGGACCAATATCATCCCTAAAAAGGGATATGTCGCTTAAAGTACTGGAACGTCTATCCATGTAAAGTTTGGCTGTCGGTGAGGATTGTGGGGAGGAGTCGGAGAAAGGCGAGGATAATAAATTCTTCCCTTCGGGCGTCCAGGCCTTCTTTTTGACTGGTGTATGCGGATCTTCCGGTATTTCTACCGTAAAGCTCCTCTTAAATGGACAATGCGTCTTTTCAAATAGCAGCGTTTTACCCAAAACTTGTTTTAGCAATAAGGCGCGGTCCTGGTCGTCGGGATCTAAGACTGGTAGCTCGATTCTCCAGTATTGAGGTCGTCGTATCTGCAAGACGAATCTGCTGTTATCCTCGTCGATGCACCAGCATTGACTTTTCGGGAGGATAGGCTGAAGGGCAGAGCCGCAGCTAAGGAAAGCCACGGACCCGGGGGCACGGTATATGCGGAACGGGCCTTGTAATATTTAAGATTAGCTAAAGATTAGCTTAAAGGGGGTAGAGTTTTGTAGGCCGTCTCTAGGGCGAACGCGGTAACGGGAAACCTACCAACAGCAAGAGTTCTTTCGAGTCGTGACGAAGCTGGTAGGGTACCTGGTCGATCCTCATGGGAAGAAGAGGGACGCGAACCAAATGAGCTGCTTTGAGTGGAGGTAAAAGAGATTATCTTGACGGAAGGGTGGCTATAAAGAGTCTCGACCAATTCTTCGGATTGAGATGTGGTTGACCCTGATGCAGCTGATGCAGATGCAGGTGCAGGAGCAGGAGATGAGGGTCTGACGATGGGTTCTGTTATGGCTCTACGGGGCCGCGGCATGTCTGTTTTACCTAGTGGAAACTTTGGGTTGTCGGCCATGGTGGTCACATCCCAGGCTATAAGTAGAATGACGTGTCCGTGCTTTTTGCTACGGACGCTACGGACGCTGTGGATGCTGTGGATGTTGTGGATGAATGAAACTCCCGGTAAGAGCAGACGATATGACGTCTAGGTCATGGTGTGCAAGGTGCAAAGTGCAAAAGTGCAAGGTGTGCAAGGACGCGGGAACGCGAAGGTCGCGGGGTTGAGGAGGAAAAGACGGTGAAGCTGGCTGGCTGGTTAAAAAGGGGAAATGGTGGAAATGACTTGAAAAAAAGTTATATTAAAAGATAAAAGATCAAAAATCAAACTGATATTCATTCAAGATGTCGCTAATAAAATTCAAACGCTACGCCTTCAAACGCGGTTCTATATATCAAATGTTTATTTAAGCAGAACTTGATTTTGATGAATGGTAGTGAAATGTAGATGTAGAGGGCTGCATTCGGGAAGCTTGGACGATGTCGTTTGCAAATGCACGAATGCACGACAGAGGATCGAACTACCTTCCCCGCGCCACAAGCAATTATGGCGTGTACGGAGTAGTTTGGTGAGTACCTAAGGTAAGTTTATACGTACGATATGGGCCATATGTGCGACACTGTATGTATGATACCGTAAGCGGTCAGGCGGTGCAAGATCGGAGGTTGGTCAAGTGGGGTTTACCGATCCCAGCATCTCATCATCTCCACATGCCTAATAGGTGATCTAATAATCTCGTGGATCAGTGGATCTGATTGATCCGTCTATCGATTAAGCTTAGACGCGAATGCAACCAATACATAGTAAGTCGGCTAATGCATTCTATGTATAATTAATTTATGAAGTGGACTTATGTTCGGTATAACTATTAGGAATACTTTAATGAAGATAGATAGATATTTGTTACTTCGCTGCTTCGTATAACTATACGTAGTGTATAAACTGCCTCCTACCTAATTCAATATTCAAGATTATCTGATACAGCTTCCTTCACCTTCTCAGCTACAGACGCCTTATACGTTAAGCCTCCACCGAAGCTTCGCTCGCTATTCTTACCTCCAGCCGTAACCTCGCCCTTACTCACCCCGCTCTCAAAAGCACAGCTACCCATCTCCAATGCCTTAGCCGGTCCGGAAGGCATAATATCGAAGTCGAAGATATCAACAGGCAAGCCTAGGGTCGTACACGCATTCGGTATATCAACGATGCCCGCCACATGTCCCTGAATGGGCGCCGACGATAGTAGTAGGTAGATCTGATAGTCGCTGTATCCAAAGCGGCGGAGGTATTCGATACACCCTGTACTGTGTTAACCACCTGTTACTTACTTACTCCACCTCTACTTCTCTCGTTGTACTCTACTTACGCAAGGTCGTCTGTCTATAAGCAACCGCAACGTCCATGTAATGTTGCTTGCCATGTTCATCCACCGAGAAGCCCTCGAAGTAAATATGGCGACCAGGTCCGAACTGCGGCTCTACCGGTCCGGGTAGGTAGATGGGTGACTTGAGACCAAGATCTGCTACCCCGTTCTTGACGACTTTGAAGTTGATTGTGATGACACCGGCCATCTCTATCGCCCCGCAGAAAGAGATCTCGCCGTCGCCCTCTATTCCCAAATCAGCACCCTCCGTTTATTTGTCTAGGCTGTAGGTAAATGTCAACTCACGCGAGAAATGTAAATCGCCGACGCTGAACTTCGCGCCGGGAACGTGAACTGGGAGATAGACCTTGGAGCCTCTGCTCAGATTCTTAATATCACAGTTCCCGCCGTGTTCCGGCCGCCCCGGGATCGTCCTAGCACCTTCCTTACCGACCTTCTCCGCGAGAGCCGCGTCCGCCGCACCCGCATGCAGGCCCTTGGACTCGGGCGGCAAGGCGACTTGTCTCTCGAGCTTATTAGCCGAGATAAGTTCCGCCTCGCGCTTATTCCAAGTCGCGAGGACCTCGGCCGACGGCGCGCAGCCCAAGATACCCGGGTGGATTATTCCCGCGAACTTGACGTGCGGTATGTGGCGCGACGTAGCAAAGATGCCTTCGAAGTCCCATATGGCCTTTGCGGCCGACGGGTAGATCTCGTCCAGAAACCCGCCGCCGTTGTCTTTGTGGAAGACACCGGTGAAACCCCAGGGTTGGTCTTGAAATGGCTGGACATCCATGATTTCAACCAGGAGGATATCTCCCGGCTGGGCGCCTTCAATTTCAAAAGGGCCTGTGAGGCAATGGACCTTAGTTAGGTCAACATTACGGATATCATCCGCGCTGTCATTATTTCCAATTTGGCCCCCTGTCCTGTGATTACGATTAGTTTTTGTATGGAGGGTGCAGTTTAATAGGCAGTGAGACTTACCAGTCAAGACATTCGATCTTAACCGTCTCACCGTCCATGATAGTGCCCGCGAATGGAACTATAGATGCGTCAGTATGCAGGTTTCTGGCAACAATATTCATCTGGGGCCCATACTATCAGGATGCCATCTATTCTTGATGCGGTATTAGTTAAGAGTTATAGCTTAAGTTTATCTAGTTTGACTTACATGAATGTTTCTCTGCTCTATTGCTGGCTTATCGAGGCTTACCTTGCCAGCAGTACGAATCGCGGTCTTACCCATAGTGACTTTCTAGGCTTTGTTATATTTTCCAACGGTGATATTTCCAGTGTAATTGTGGCTCTCGGGACAGCCAAAGGTTTTATATCCAGCTTCTCATTCGGACGGACACCAATATGTAACAGAAGCTACACGTTAAGGTTTGTACTAAAGAGGTATGTATACCTCTTATAACGGAACTTACTTAGACGTACCCCGCATCACAGTCTGCGCAGAGGCGCCCTATCGCAACAGGCATTGCGATATCACAGACTAGTAGAAGATATCAAGCAGCCTGCGTCATGTTAAGTGACAGCAGGGACGTTACAGCCTAGGTAGGTAGGTTTAATAGTTATTCCTAGCGTAGGTTGGCATATCAAGATGGGCTCCAACTATTCGCTCCCCCACTTGGGAATCTCCTTATCATACCTATCAAAGTTGATAGATGAATGTGCAGGTATATGCAGCTAGTTGATAAGGGGAATCCTAAGCAGTTGTTCAAGTTGCCTGATAAGGGAAAACATCTCCGGGAAACGTAATTTATATAGAAAACCAGCTTATCTTCGTATTTCAACGATAAATAGATTTAACTTGCAGTCGGTCTAATTGGGCTACGTAATAGTGAGTACCCCTTACAATCTAATCTAGTATCTACCATCTTTGGCTATTATTGCGGCCATTATAATTCTTTCCTGCTTCCCTGCTTTACCGACTCGTCGTATGATGGCGGCTCTTCTCCATGGATAGCATCCATGTTCGCTAATGGGAGGCTGAGGAACTCATGCTTGTTCTTCCAGACTTGTTGGCTTGCTGCGAATTCCTGTATTTCGGAACGGGGCGCATTCGGTGATGGAGGGGGGTCCGTGATCTTAGTGATGAGATACGCGGTCGATGCTTCGGCAATACCATATATCAATACGCCAAGTAACGGGACCCGGAGAAGCGTGTAAAAGCCAATGCCGAACCCGAAAAGAAGTCCTTCACGGCTCCTGAACCAATTTCGCTTCTGCTCCTTGGTGAAGTAAATACGGGCAAAATAAGGCTCGAGTAATTCCCGCATCAGGCTCCGCGAAGCGAAATAGGTCTGAAGGAAAATGATGAGGTAGCGCTTCGGGAGAAGAATTCCTGTACCAAAGATGACCGCTGCTGGCCCCAAACCAACGGCCTTATTGAACGTATAGAAACTGGCCGCAGGAAGTACTAACCGGCCGATGTATGGAACGTACGACAGAGCGAATACGACAAGAGAAATTATAGCCTTTCGAGCAAACTTCCATATGAACATAGTAAAGGCCTCAGCAGTGCTGCCTGACTGCGTACTTCCATCCAAAGGCTTGAGTTTGCTGAGGTTTGGATAGTACATATCACGGAGTGTATCGGGATTCTCGTGCTTATGCTTATGGACATATGTCATATCTACCCATCGTAACGAGTCCATGAACCTGGCAGGTTAGGAGTTAAATAAGCACGAGCTGTGTTTTTATGAAGATATAACGACGTACATGTTGTCTAGTGTTGGTGTCATATACCTCATGAGAGTCATGAGAAACAAAGGAACTTGAAGGACATGGTTGGCGATCAAGTCAAGGCCGTTTACCAGAGTATCGTCCCACGTGGCTTTGTCAAGATCGAATATTAGAGAGAGGAAGCTTAGAAGAACTTTGATCCCGATGATCTAGTGTTTAAGATGGTTAGTTATAGGTCGACCTGGGTAGACCAGGTCTTGGAGTTCTTACTGGAACGGCGATGGCCAAACGGATCGCGATGCCGGCACCGACAGCTATGGCGGCTTGCCTATAGTGATCGTTCGTGAATATAGCGGGATTTTGTAGAGCTCGGTGAGCTATAGGATAGATGTTAACGACCTTACAGGAACAATTAAGCGCCTTATACATGAACGGAACATACCACCAACGAGTGTCAATTGTATGCCACGTATGACGGCATTTAAGTCGAAGTGGGAGAGGTCGAATGCCTTCTTGAGGTCTTCCTTATCCAGCTTGTCTAGCTTGTTTAATTTAGACATATTTAGTTTGAATGCCGTTTAGTTCCCGGCTGTGAGAAGAAAAATGGAGTCTTGAATTAAGAATCGAGTATGAAGAAACACAAGACCATAGAAGGCGGATACCCGATTGATGAATGCATCCATTGGTGACGACATCTGCGTACCTAAGCTTTATGTTATCTAATCTCAGCTTATTGTCTATCGATAGGAGTTCTAAGCCACATTTCTATCATTACAGCGATACGGCGATACGGCGATACGGGCAATACGCTCGAGCGTTACATCAGGTTAGGTAATCTCTCCACCCCGCGTATTTCGCGAACGGGTTTGATTCGTCCACTGCCACAAGCTTTATTCTTCTAGACTTGGCTCTAATAAAGAATGAGGCAGAGCTGAGATTCTGCCTCTACGAGGGGCACGTCATATCTAGACACCAATGAAGGAGACTTAATACAGTTTTATATAGTTAGGTAAGTTTATTAGTTTATTAACTAGTGATTATGCTAGACTGCGCTTAGTGGCGCGGCGTTGCATTACCTATACGCCGTATTCCTGTAAGTAATGCGATTGGTCGATTGTCGTCTATGAGGCTAGGATTGCTTCACATTCAAGAAATACAAAGCAGGTAAGGCATATTATTTCTATATTTCTACCCAAGAGATAGCAATATATATATAAGAAGACATCATGGACTTCTATCAAGGCCGTATATATCCTGCATTCTGCATTCAACGTGGGCGGATCAATAGGGGAAAACAACAGCAGTTGATCATCGAGTTATATTATACTTCATCACACCTAGGCACTTACTTAATATTTACCTAAACGAGGACGTACCGCTAGCAAGCATGGAGGACGGGAAATATGTCGAAGGCAGCTTCTATATATACGCTCCAAACAAGGGAGCGCCGGTGTTCTTCGCCGTCGCTTTTCTAGCTACCGGTGGTGTTCACCTTTGGCAAGCAATGTAAGTGCCCTCGAAAGCGACATCCTAATAGTTAGCCAATGCAATTCTAACCACACTGACTTAGTCATTATAAGAGCTGGAGGCTCACTGGGTTATATATTGTATGCTCGCTTCTATTCGCCTCGGGTTTCATTGTGAGGGAGCTGGGAGCTTTCGAGTATACGAACCTCGTCTTATATATTGTTAGCCAATGTCTCATTTACTTTGCGCCGTAAGTTCAAAGCCTACCTACCTGTTGGTCCTCGTAAGTTGCTTACCAAATTATGTACCAGGCCGTTATACGAACTCTGCAACTATTACATCCTCGGCCGTATACTTTACTTCGTTCCCTATTACTCTCCGATTCACCCTGGACGAGTACTGACGACCTTCGCCGCTATCTCTATTGTTGTCGAGGCACTGAACGGCAACGGTATTGCCTATATAGCTAATAAGTCATTACCAGAGAAACAGCAGCGGACAGGCGAGTCGCTACTGAAAGCCTCGTTGGTATTGCAGCTTGTAGTTGTGTCGCTTTTCGTTGTGCTCGCCGGTGCATTCCAAACGAGGTGCCGACGAAACGGTATCAATCACGTCAAAGTAAACCAAGCACTCCTAACTCTTTATATCAGCACAGCCATCATTATGGTCAGGTGCATATATAGAACAGTCGAGTACTTCGGTGCTACTAACGTCGACTATTCGGATCCGAACTTCGACTTCTCGGCCTTAAGCCCGATTGTTCGCTACGAGTGGTTCTTCTACGTGTTCGAAGCAACGCTTATGTTATGTAATAGCGTGTTGTTGAACGTCCGCCATCCGCGCCGCTGGTTGCCAAGTTCCACCAAAGTCTACCTCGCTAAGGATAACGTGACGGAGATCATGGGGCCAGGATATAAGCAGGAAAGGAACGTTTTGGCCACCATCGTCGATCCTTTCGATATCTACGGCATGATCAAAGGCAGAGATCAAGCAACGCGCTTTTGGGATGACAATGAACTCGAAGGGAGAAAGGCCGATGTTGATCCAATGCTATCGACCGCCGAGAGACAGACTGACAGAACTGTCCGAAAATAGAACGATTTGAATTTGAAGTTTATGGGGTTTGGGATGCTTCTGGGATGCTTCTGGATATATCCACATGATTTAGGTAGTTTAGACGGCGCAATCAATTGTGTCAAAGAATAGCAACAAGCTTCTGGAAAACTTTATTGAATTTCCATTTGGCTATTATTTGGTAGGGGTTCCGAGTAAGGGGGATTGTTGTAAGTTTGGATCCATCGGGAAATAGAGCCACATGAGGCCGCGCAGTAGGTAAAACTCTAGTAATTAGCATACCTACACTTACATAGGAAGGCACTTTTGTGCGCTTTTGTTTCCGGTCTATTCGAAACATGTTAAAATATACTGAACATTTAATCGTCCCCCCCTTGCGAGATGAAACAATCTCATGCGATGTGTCAACTGGAAGTTGAACAATTCGGTGTTTCAACAATACACCGTTTTGGGGAGTCGCTTACGAGCGAGCTTATTCTAAAAGGCCCTGTGCCTTAAATGCCATGACGCTATCAACGACCTTCCTCACGATTGACGAGTTGATAACTGGTAAAATAAAAATAGGACAGTTCATTCGACAGCTTAATTGCGCTGACGATAAATTTAAAGTACTTGATGTATTAAATTATTTCCAAGATCGGCATCTTGTTGTTGTATGTAGTGGATAAGCGCTTGCCGCCGAAGGAAGCAAGGGATTCTTCGATAGACGAAAGATATAACCTAGAGAAGTAGATAGTCATAGTGTAAATATGTCACATGAGATGTTGGATTGAGAATTACGTATTGTACATTTAAGTCATGTCACGTTGGAACTTTATAATTAAAAAAGCACGATGCTGTTTGTTTTGCTATGTACCTAGGTACATATTACTGCTCTTCCATTCTTGTGAGTGGGCCACGGCATGCACATTTGATGCAATGCGGAGGGGAAACCTACATGATAAGCTGCATACGCTAAGCTCTGTGCGAAACCAATGTTTCTATTTCCAGAAACACCCCACCGAAGGCTATGCATTTAAAGCATGTACGGAATATTTAGTACCTAAATACATATTCAAGGTACAATACATGTAAGGTACGGATTCGCCGGCAAATTGCAGTACACTCAAATGCACATACCATATTCGGGTACATTTATGTAGGTATATTAAGTAGTTTCTTGTTTAATCTCCGAATTCCATTTCGCAAAAGCGTTCGACACTTCATGCAATACCTCCCTATAGCAGTACCTCGTCATCATCAGCAATGTGTTGTAATCCAAAACAAAATGGATGATGAATTAACTAACATTTAATATAGATAGGAACAAAAGCCTCACGAGGATCGACGTTTATTAGATCTAAAGTTACATACATACAAATAAGAAGCATTCTTACATAGATCCCGTATTATGATCATATTTGGAGGCGCTGGTCGAGTTAAAGCAGTAAAAGGCGAGCATTACTATGCCGCTCATTCTTCGAACCCGGTAGTCCGCGAGTCATGATAACGCGGCTCGGTTATAGAACCCGACGGCTAATCCGAACGGCGCCTCATTTACCGTCCAAAAGGATTAAATGCCAGGAGGTACATAGTTAAGGAGTTAAGGGGGAGATCTATCAACTCCTTTTTGTCAGTAGCGGCGCTGGTCTATGCTTTAGAATCGCATCGATCATTTCCGACAACGTGCTCAAGTTTTATACGCGGAAATAGCTTCAAAGAGCATTCCCTAGTTATGAAAGCTAACGATAACCACACTACACTAGATTAATAGCTAGTTACCAGATATGCGAGTTTCGATTAATTGACAAATGATAGGTAAACCAAATGAATGATAAACACAGCAGCAGGGATTAACATCCTTCAAACCTGCCATTTCCACACCAAAAACTGTCGGCCCAAGGGTTTTTTCCAGGGGTCATCCAGGCGGATCTTCCAGTGTTTTCCTTTTGGCTGGGGGTGAGGCGGAGCTGGAACGAATGTCGGGTAAGTAGCGCATTCCAGGTATTGTTGCTTTCGGGTTCGCATACATAGTACCAGGTATACTACCACTACGGAGGCAGAGCGGAAGCAAGGAGGCATGGCATCATGTACACAATACTACATCTAACCGTCGTACCAACCGTACCAACCGTCGTACACATGCTTGGATATGCTTGGACACCGCCGTTCGTCCTGTCGAGTTTCGCCAATGAGCTTGTTTGTCTAGACTAACCCGCTGCGGATACAGCAAATCATTTCGTCCTTCCGCCCCTCTTCACAGGTTACTAACAGGTCGATCATTCTTATTCGTCGATTCTATTTGTCGTTTTCTTGTTCATACATTACCGGCACACTTCTCTACGACCCTACCTTAATAACTAGTCACTCACGACGTACACGCACTTCGACTAACAGCAGGATTCTCACTTACAACTTGCGTATAGTGTAGTACCTGTTCCTCAACATCTCTTCATACGCCACCGTCTTTAAACCGTCCGCCTAGCCTTCGAACTACTCCTTAGCGGCTTAGACGAACTTGGATTCTTGGATTCTTTCCTGTGGCTTATTATAATATAATACTCCACCGCACATCTACTCAGATCATCTTTAATTCCTCCTGTTACTTCTCTAACCAGAGGACGTCGCATAATAGAGGAACAAACTCCACTGCTAACGGTGGAAAAGTACACCATTTAAAGTATTTTTGGTATTTTTGTATTTTTGGCTGGCCACACCCAACTGCCCTTTTCGAGCGTCTCGAGTTGAGGGCCTTGGCACGCTTCTAGCGGCTCGCCCGTCACATTCTGGAGACAAGCACCGTAGCCGCAGGTGTGCTCCAGGTTTGTTTCTCATCGAATCCCAACCAACCCTTGTCAGCCGAAGTGGTAGCATCCTTTATTAAGAACAGTCCTCCCTTTTTCTTTCCCTCCTCCCCGTGTATTGCGGAGGCCGGTACCTAGCAACATGGATCACAATCGGAACAAGGCAATACGCAACGAACGTAAGAACCATCTTTCGAAGCCGCAGGTTTTCGTCCAGCTCGCATTTGGCGTATCTTGGTCTGAACGGCATACACCACAGACGCATACAATGACTTACATGTCTCGTAACTTGAAGAATGCGAGGGATTCCGGAAACTTTCCTCGCCAAGTACCCCCGCCGAATGCCAACTTCTTAGGTATCCCGGAATCGCGCCAGCAACGGAGTCGAGAACATTCAGGCCGACATCATCGTCAACATAATCACGCGCAAGCCCGGGAACCTGGACGTCACCGGGGTCAGAATGGTAGTAATCAACCCAGCGAACAAGTAAGGGCCCGGCCAAGGCGGCTCTCGGCGAGCGAATCTCGAGCGGAAAGGGGAAGGTCGGCGCCGCCACTATTTAACGACAGCCCGTGGGATGATCCTTATGTATGTGCATCGTTGTTCCCACAACGTTCACAGACGGCTGGAGAGCAAGCCTCGTGGAAAGCATTACCCGCAGCACCGAGTCAGTATCGACTTGGTGAAGAAGGGCTACCGTGGTCTGCATATGCATGGCCGGGGGATGTCCAGGACGATGATGAGGACGATGATGGCGAGGAATTACCTTTTGAAAATCGCCCAACGACCATCCCCCTCGACACGGAGCGATCTCGCGGCGAGGACCCCGAAAGAGTTAGGGAACTTGAGTCGCTGTCTACGGCCATGATGACGGTAGACAACGGGTTTGAGCACCAATGGTGGTATCAAGGTCCTCGGGAGTCTATGGAACGTTGGTGGACGCAACGAGCCGCAGAGGAGGCAGATGACGCACGGTCGGCCGTTAGTGCCGAAGCGGTGCTATTATCTGACATGGCACCGCCGTCGGCCTTGGAACCTGGAGATGATGATATTCCGAATTTTAATGATATCGTATCGCCGATATCAGAAGCATCAGAAGCATCAAGTCCGGTCCAGAGTTTCAACCGGCCTCTCCATAGAACACTTACGACAAGATCGGACGAGCTATGGCTACAATAAAGGAATTTAGGCTAGAAGACCGGACCATTGCAGGCGATGCTTAAGCATTGGATATGCTATCAAGCAGGAGGGGACTACTAAAAAGCATTTGCATACTATTGGGCGTTTGGATTCAGGAAATTACTACTTTAATACATACTATAAAGGACATCAAAGTGGAGGATATTCCCACGGAACGCAATGGATTTAGCATATAGCATTATAGGGAAATTTGGCAGCAGCCAGTGTGCCCAATATCGAGCATTAATCACTTCTACTTTCTATGGGTTTATGACCGTGGGTGTTCATTCATGCTTACCTCCTATCTGGTTTGCAATACATAGGTACCTGACGTCTAATAGCCTTACCGCGCATCACGACGACTCTTGCCACTATACATCAGGGGTGCCTCGTGACAGTTGTAGAGTTGTAGGGGAGTACCTCAACTACCTACATATCACCGTACAGGGTGGGCTTGGCAATCAACATTCAATAGGAGTTACTATGTATTTCGATGCCGGTTAGACGGACTGACGGAACAGCTTTATTAGGAGTTAAGATAGGCTTTAAGTTATGTGGAGATTTCTATTTTAACAGTGCGTTGCCTTCGTATGTAAAGCGAGATGACTTCTTGTTATGGTGATTTATGGCACGACGCGTAAAACTCCATTCTTTTTTACTCGATGCCTGATAGAACCATGGAAGTTAAATAACAAGCGCTAGCAAGGACTTTCTTAGCTACTCAACTTAGGTAGTATTTTCATCCAAGTTGTATAAGAAAAGGAGAACAACTACCCCTCTCGAAGTACACTACCACTTTACATAATACGACGATGAGACCCTTATATACTGCACGTTTATTAATTATGCGCTCATTAATAAAAATTGTCAGTGGAGTTACCAGTAGGGGTAGCTTTCACCGAGTCGAAACAGGGCAGGGCGAGATCTGGGGTTAGTTAGTCTGTTTACGAACGTTTTAATCATCGAACGGCGAGACGGCCAATGTAACGTTGAACCTGACCCATCACCTCCACATATGTACACATTTATATGTATATTATGGGGTGATCATCGTTGTTAGAATGGATTGTGACGATTAGACCTGCATAGAGGTCTACTTTAATAATAATATACCGACAACTTTATCTAAATATAGGATAGAATGACCTGCTTTATGTATTATACATACCTACCTTAAGTACCTAAGGTATCCAGGTAATATTTAATATAAAATAACAGAAATAACTGATAAACAACAACAATGACAACAATAACAACAAGACCGAATTGTACATATGCACATATGCCGCGGCTGTCGTCATCACGAGTATGTACGAAACATTATACGTCTCCTACATACATATATATGCATAACAAGTACACATCCAAGCCCCTGGAAAAACAACCAAGATCTACAAACTATCCCAAGGGGGTTATCGACATATCGACAGGGTCCCATCCGAGAAGGGACCGACGACGCTGCCGATTCGACGGCCGGCGCTTGTACCCCATCTGATCCGTAGAGCCGCCAGGGGTAATGCGTTTACATACAATACATACCTAACCTATGTAGGTGCTGAAGCCGCCCGCGCACATCCCGGCAAGCTGAATCGAATCGGTGTCTTGGGAGATATGTAGATCTAAGACACACCATCATCTGAAACGATCTATGTGCAATCGTCAACGTCGAGCGTAGCACCTTTGTATGTGTACAGCCTTACGTACGTTAGGTATGTTAGGTATATAAATGTTTCTCGGCGGTAATAAATACAATATCATTATCAGGTGACTACCTAACCTAGGTATCAACAACAACTTATCGCTCGCTACCTTACCTCAACAATACTACGGTAGTATGTATGTGATACAGGGAAGTGTGTAGACTAATAATACAACGGTTTGATTTAGTTATATATTTAGATATATGTTCCGCCGAGCTCTACTCTACCTAGGTGACAGAGGCTGAGGAACAACGTGCCAGCAACGTGCACTTCACATCCAAAGCACCTATGTAGGGTATTGTATGTATACCCTGCTCGTCATCGCCTTGTAATACCAAGAGGTAGGTCAGGTAGGTAGTAAGGAGCTACTTCGGCAGTCAAGTTCTTGGTGCGGCACAGCATACTTACATACGTGTAGGAGTACAATTTGAAATGTTAGTTAATATATCAAACTACAGTCTACGAGGCTAGGTTACAACGTATGTACGGCCGAATCAACCGAAGAGGTAGGTAGGTACCCAGGTAGGCTATGCGGGCTGCCATCACACATAACTAACCATTTCCTGGAGCCGACACCATTTCTCGGTTTTCAGAAACCGTCTGAACTACGAAACGTCCCAACTATCAGTATCAGGTTGTTAACGCTACATCGTTTCCTGGATGTGACGATGTGACGATGCATGGGGTTAGTATTTGAGTTCTGTGCCGCACACATAAGGCTATTAGTACCACATACTACTACCTACTACTACATACTATTTCCACTCAAATACCCCGTTGATGCGCCCCACGCTTACTTCTCACCAGATACGCCTTCAAGTATGAGTCTCCATGCCGCAAGTCAGGCTGGTAAATTAACTTACACACTCCGGACGCAAGCACTCAGCCCCACACTATTTGGTATCCCCTTTCGACTTATAATCCGTCTATAATACTACTCGTGGAAGGGGGAAGGGCTGACAAACAGACCGGATGAACCTTCTCTCGAACTGAGCGCTTACTACACTGCCCACTTTAGGTAGTATGCCTATATTCTTGCTACGCGTGCTGGCGTGGCGGCGGTGCGGGAGGCATGCTACTTGCTTTACTACCAAGTCATGATTCTCTAGACATTACTTTATTACCCTAAGGCGCTGTATATTGTCAAAATTTGTTTTTCATATTCGTGTACGTCGTCTCAACATAGCAAAGAGCGCGGCTAACTAGTACTCATCGTGCGAACAAGGCAGAACGAGATACATGACATGTGCCCTGCCTTGCTCGTGCTCCACCAATGTAACCGTATATTTTCAGCTGGATTCCCTAGCCAGACCTAGCAACATGTAACTCGTCTCAGTTTTCCCCCATCACATCGTATCATTGCAACCAACCAACCCCATCCACCAACCTTGCCGTCTCCCGAAACTTAATCTGTTGATAGCCCCGGCCCTTTTCACTTTTCCTTACCTATGCTCTCCAGATAGCAGCAGTCGTACGGCATCGGTAACTTCGAATAGGGCAAGATAGTTCTCAGTAACCCATCAAGCCGAGAACAATAGAGAAAAAGCAATAAACGCCCAACCAGAGGACAGTCGACGCCGCGTACATGCATCCCCCCATTCCATAATAGCCCATCAAGGGCATCCAGGTATCTCTGCAGAAGCCTCCACACCCGTCTATTAAACACTTGCGTCGCGTATTGCCGTTTGGGAAAGTAGAGCGAGAGAAAAATAAAATAAAATCATGTAAGAAGTGTGATATGGTATCTTTGCATAGCCGTGACTTGGATCGAAAAGAGAAAGTGAACCGATATTGCCAAAAAGAAGACCAATAGAAACCCGCTGCTACATGCTGACCTCCCGCTCTTCCTGGATAGCTGTCATTTCGCCGCCAACGACGCCGCCCCCAAGGAGGGGTAGGCTCGGCGGAGGCATCGAAAAGACCCGGGAGCTTGATGATGTTGTACTAACGCCCCCGGCACTGGTAACCGCGTTCGAACCCGACGACCTGTTTGCCGTTGTGTTCGTACCTGTCTCGGAAGGCTGCTCGATGACGCTCATCTCGTTCGTGGGGACTTCTCTTTGTAGGGGAGAGGAATGCACAGGCGAGTTGGATTTCTTACTTGCACCATCGCCGTTGCCTCCACGAGAAGAATTTCGTGGAGAGACCCTGCCCGTCTGCTATAGGTAAGTAATCCGCACGGAGGAGTATGGAAAGGGGATTCACCAACCTGCTTTGCCCACCTAAGGCCGCAGCTGTTACACAGATCTCTTTGACCACTCGGGCCTCTCCGCCACTCAGGCGTGTTGCGAGTATGGCAATTAGCGCAATCTCGGACGAAGTTCCCAATCCCCTTTCTACGCTTGCGTTTCTTTTTATTAGAAAGGAGACCGTGAAGCTCCTCAGCTAGTACCCGGTTTACCTTTTCCATTTGTCTCAATTCATATTGCCAGCTAGTGCATCTTGTGGTCTTGAGCTCATCAAAAATATTGTCATCTGAGGCAAGAGCCTTATCTTGGTTACCAGGAGCCATGCCGCCACCTGCTGCGGCGGATAGGAGGCCATGACGTTGGTCATCTGGAGTCTGAATACCTTCTCGTACTACTGCGAAGCTGGACACTGGCTTCGGTTCCGTAGATGAATGGTTGGTAGAACTCTGTCTAGTAGATAGAGTAGACGAAACTGGCCCAATTGCCCGGGAAGAGGCCTTAACTAACTTCGTCTGGGCAAGCAAAAAGGTTGGTTTCTGCCCCTTAGACGCATCACCCGGATACATAATGGTATGAGCTTGTAAAACCTGGCCTCGTCGATTTTGAACCTCGTGTTTGCACGTGACTGTACGTCCTCTTCTAGCTTTCTCGATCGAACGCCCGAATTCGGCACGCGATTCCTTACGCATCAACTCTTGGATGCTAGTCCCTACAAGGGTTTCTGGTTGCAAATCTAATAGAGACCGAACATTTGCGGAGACAAATAGGAACATCCCAGATGTGGAGAGTTTTGTCCATAACTCGCTATCACCTATGCCACCGTTATATTCCAACTCGCGTCGACTGAGCGTAAAGACCGGACGCTTCCGACCAACAAGAATTATACATTTTCGACCCTTTCCTTGCTCGACGAATAGCGAACCGTGGCTTTCGAACCAAGTGTAGCCACTTTGCTTTCTTCGTATGCGAAATACTATATTCACCGAATTTCCATTGGTAGCATCCTTGAGCTCTCGGGTAACTGGAACAATATCGGAAGGATGTGATATAGACGAGATAGAATTTCCAACGAGCTCGGTTGCATCATATTCGAGTATGCGCTTACAGGACGGTGACAGATAGAGAAACAACCCCTTCAAAGATAGCACGTGAACGACATCATCGGTATTCTCCAGAAGCATCTTGTCCCAGGATTGCCGGTGCCAGTCAGAGGCAGAACCCTTCGGATTGAATTGCTGTAGTAGCGTAGATACATCGTCAACTCCTAATGTTTGTCCGTTTTCCGGTTCCCAATGGCTTGAAGACGGCGGTGTCCAAATATACTGCCCGATATCACTGTGCTTGTAGTTGACTTTCATGGTTCCAGGGCCTTGATGTGAGGCGATGGCGTCGGGGCATTCCACCAGATCGATTTGGAACCCAATGATATATTTGATCTCGGAAGTGTCCCATGGGATAGGGATCATGGTTAATAAGTTTAAGAAAGGCTTTCCTCCTTTCCGGTAATTGATTAAACTTTGCTGCACTTCCTTACCTTCGGCAATCTTTTGCTTTAGGTTATAGACGGCTCCGTTGTCAACGAATTCCCGTTTCGTACCTGCCTCAACTTTGCCGTCCGGGGCTTGGAGAAAACGGCAATTCTGACCAACGATGTCATGCTGGCTGTAACCAGTCAGGTTCTGAAAATTGTCTGAGACGTATATGATTGGACAGTCATTCATCGTAACATCGCAGACGACGAAAGCACAGGACATGTCGACGGCGCCGAGGTTGACCTGCGGGTTTTTTCGCGTAGCCACAAGCCAAAGGGCCCTCAGCATATCAAAGCCACTTTTAGAGTATATAGTCTTCTCCTTCGGAGGTTGGGGATTGATGACGGCTGGGATGGATGGCTGGGAAGGGGCGGCACTCTCTGGCGTTGTTCCTGTTGTAGTCGCTATGGGTGACTCATACGAGGACGTAGAGGATACGAGGGTTTGGGACTGGACCTGCGGAATGGGTTGCGGTGAAATACTGGGTTGAAACCCGCTCATAGCAGTGTCTAGGTCGATATTTGTCTGGGGGTTAGGTTGGCTGGGCGGGGAGAACTGTGGTGAATTGGTCATAATGCTATCGTCGCCAGCATCCACGGGCATACCGGCGCCGGGGTTGTTTGTCACAGCACCAAGAGCACTGCTATCATTCGATAGGTCCATGCTAAAGTCGCCTGGCAACCCATCCATAGAATTTGACGTAAACGGGGTAGACATTGTAGTTGCCGATGAGAACATGTTCATGGAAGGGTCCGCGCCCATCGAGCCCATGTTCATATTAGAGAAGGCAATCATGTTCCCTACCATTTCAGGGGAGAGTGCTGAAAAATCATTTGCAAGCATGGTTGGGGAGGTGAACCCCGAAGTCCCCTGAAGGGGTATATTGGTGTTAAGGGTAGGAAACCCGTTGTGCATAGCGCCAGCAGAGTTTGGCATAACCCCAAACTGATAGTCCCTAAAGGAGTCATCACCGCCACCAAACTCCATCATAGACATTCTTCGATCAGCATCTACTTGGGACATCTGACCTGGAAATTGTTGTGGTAGACTCCGTCGTCGCTGCAGTTCCTGAGAATTGCTACACATGATATCGAGAGAATCAGCGCCTACCAAAGACGGATCTGGATTTGTAGCCGTAACAGGGACATGGCTATATTGTGGCTGTTGAGCGGATTGGTTTAGTGAATTCGCAACTAGGCGTCTCTGGTTGCGCTGTAGAGAATGGCGGCGCTGCAGCTCCTCTTGGGAGAGCTGGTTGCCGAAGAAGTTGTCCATCTCGACTGCATCTGTTACAACTGTAGTAGAACCGAGGTTGGATATTCGATGGCTACCGTATCACCCAACACAAGTTCCCTCGTAATAAATAGTATAAACTAGGTACAGAAACCGGAATCGATTCGAATGATAAATCGTGGGAGTATCAAGAACGTTGGATAATATCGTCGGCGATCAAGTTATCATATGCGAAGAGTAATGGCGTTTGGGGTTGCATTAAGACGTGACTTGTAGAATGTATCATGCGTAGACGGTTGGAAGACGTTGGGCAATATGTTACGAGGGATAACACTGAGACTCGTGCGTCTGCGGTCGATTATGAGGGATAACGAACTTTGCTCGGATAACGCAGGAAGTAGACGAGGTATTCTATAAATGCCGAGATGTTATATAGTCGGTTACTATGGCTCCATCGGATGGGCCATATGCGTATTCGAGGCCGATTCCCAAGATGTTGCTGCGTAGGAAATAGATACTAGATGATGGAAAAGCAAGCGGGTATATTCGAAGGGAACTGTGCGCGTAGTATGTAGTAGCTTCGCAGAGGCACGAGAACATCGGTCGCTCCCGCAAGAGGGATAGTTTTGAGCAGTTGGTCGGCTTTCCGGGGTTGAAAGGCTTATTATCGTAGTAGAAACATGAATGAATGGGAGAGATTTCGAAAGATGGCATCCAGACGGCATCCAGATGGCTTAGTTTGGCTAGCTCTCTATAGTTTGAAGGTGGGAGGGTCGAGGATTGAATTCGACCGACCAGGGTCAAGTTGAAAAGTACTATGTAGGGGCCAAGTAATAAAGTTGTCGATCAAATCCATTTGATCGAGCTAGTGCAGGCCTTTCCTTTCCGTTGGGTCTCATACCGTACTTATCACCGTCCGATACGGTTGTACCAGCGGGGAAAAACGGAACGGTTAAAAAAAACCACGCAAAAACGTGCCTACCTAGGAACATTAAAGTACCTAATCTGCTAATGTAGGCGGGTAAGTCTTATTTTTTGTATCCGTAAGATGCGGCCGTTCCAATATGCGGGGTTATTCTTGGCCGCTCTCACGGGGCAGGTACAAATGCTACCCAGCCTAATAAATTCCTATCTCCAGATGGTATTTTTGCGAAATTCTACGATTTGCATCCAAATGGACAGACTCGCCTTACCCACAACTCCCGCAACTTGCGACAGTTCCCGGTAATCAGTGCATAAGCCTAACGAACATGACATAAAACTTAAGCAAAGGAAGCTACCTAACTTTAAGACAAAATTGTTGTATGGGTTTTTATTAAAGCGTATTAATAATAAATGTCTTGTAAAGATCTGAGACACGTGACTTGATACTTTTTTAGGTACTTTTCTTCTTTGAAAGTGCATGTACTTCGTACCCCATATCTTAATATTAATACATCCTATCCCTACCGCCTGCCGTAATATATAAAAGGTATAAGGTAATGTACCTAACCTAACCTAGTACATCAGCTAGTGGAGACTTCTAGTGGAGACTGCTAGCACAGTTGAGGCTGATTCTGCCACGCCTCGCCTCCCCCGACTTCGTCATTCATTCCGCCATGAAATTGAGACCTCTAATCCGAAAATAACCACCACAACCAATTTCAAACGCCGCTTTTCGTCTTCTTGGAAGCCATCCAGTTGCCGTATCTTTGGGTTTTCGGGATTTTCTCAATAAACCTCATCTTCTACAGAATGGACGAACCTACAGAGCTTGTCAATTCATTACCTCTGCAGTCCATCAACGTCCTTATCTCGTAAGTCCTCTTAACTTTGACATCTTAGCTTTGATATCTAAAACCCCCCGTTTCCTATTACCTCGTTACACTTAAATCATAAAATTCATCTATCATTCCGAGATAAATAAGGTAACCAGCTATTGGTACTTGAGGTTTCGTGCTCGCGCGGCTGCACGTCAAGACCTCTCCTCTTCGCGCCTAACCAACTTTTTTCCTCATCCACTAGTCATTTAGTCACTTACCTGTCACTTAATCATTCAATCACTTAACTTCGATAAGACACCACTAATATCTACTAGGCTCCCGTCTCTGAATTCACAATTAATTAATCAATCATCGGAATCTACACCCCACCTCTTTATGTGATAGCCTCGTCCCCTTCTAACAATGGCTCTTGACATTACACATGATCAAGACCTTCGTGTGTCGGGAACGCCTCCTATCATGAAAACAACTCCTCAACGACCTGGGCCTATTGGCTCGCGAGTCGTCAAGAAATGGTCATCACCTCAGCTTGGGGATGGCCTTTGCGATGTCTTCTCAGTTACAGATGATTCTCTTGTTTGGACGGAATATACTCCCAGCCTTTCCATCGGTCATGAGACTGGTAGCTCTGTTTTCACTCCATCAGAAAAGGCTTCTACTGTTATATCGTCTACGCCTGATTCGAGCACTGGATCCTTCGATTTCGATCTCCGAATGGATTCTAACGACTCCATTAAAACACCCAAATATTTAGCCTCTAGCATTGCGCGTTGCGAGTTGTCTCGAGCCACTTCATATACGCCCAGCGGAGTTGAGCCAGCATCGCATACGCCATCTCCAGTGTCTCTGGAAGCGAGCACCAGCACGCTTACTAGCCCATCCCCAAAACTACTACCGCTTTCACAAATATTCGACCCTGTGGGATACTCACCTTATGTCACACCTTCTAGGATGCCCAAAGAGCAAACTACCAAGGACCCCTTCGTAACTGCGACGACTGTACATGAGGTCGACTATTTGGATTTATTGGACGCTCTTAATGCACAACAGACGCCCCATAAAAGAGGCCAGGTCAATGTCAGCCAGCTACCCCATATACTCCAATGCTTAAAACTGCCTCTGCCAAATCCTTTATATCGCAATGCTCAGTCGATATCTCCACCGCCGATCGAAATTATGCGCGAACGCTTCTATGCGAAGTTGAGGAGTTATACTGATATGAACCATACTAATTCGTCCTCGAAAGCTGAGGCTGATGTCCATATTTTTGTGGATATGTCCAATATCTTCATTGGATTCTGTGAGAGCTATAAAATCTCCAGGCAGATCCCGCTTACTCGCAAGATAAGCATGCCTCCATTTTCGTTTAAGACATTGGCACTTGTGATGGAACGAGCAAGGAATGTGCAGAAGAGAGTGCTAGCCGGGTCCATATACGGTGTAGCAAACAACAATCCCCAAACGTCTTGGCCGCCTTACTTTCTAGAGGCAGAACAGTTGAACTATAAGATGAACGTTTTTAGTCGTGTTCGGAAGCGCAAGGTCTCACCAAACAAGTCAAAGGGAAGGGGAAGGACACCGACCGAACGCCCCGATGAAGCAGGCGAGATTTCAGAAGATGTCACGTACGAAGTGAGAAATGGAGAGCAGGGCGTAGACGAGAATCTCCATCTGAATATGATGGACAGTATGTGGGACAACATGTCACGCCCTGGCACGATGGTGTTGGCCACCGGAGATGCAGCGGAAGCTGAGTTTTCTGGAGGGTTCTTAGAGTACGCCATTCGCGCCCTCGAAAAGGGATGGAAACTTGAGCTGGTAACATGGAAGCGACCTCTCTCATCCGCTTGGACCGACCCAAAATTCTTGAAGAAGTATAAGAACCAGTTCAGCATCATCTTCCTAGACGATTTTCTAGAAGAGTTACAGACCGGCCTTCTCGCATAGGGTATCGTCGCATTTACATCTGGTTAGGAAACCACTCCTAGCATGTTCTTGGAGAGACTTTCGGCTCTCTATTGCGTTCAGCTACTATCTTTCGCTGCCTACCTGTATTGCGGTCATCTCAAAATACCTTTTTTCTTTTCTCTTTTCACTTATAGTGCATATATGCATCTAACAAGCAGCATTCGGCGTACCACGGTCATTCGATTCACTACTTGTTTTTCAGACCAGTTGATCTCAAAACTTCGTGGAATATGTCCTGCCGGGCGAGCTGGAACCATCTTGGAGCGACGATGGAGGTTTGAATTATCTGGAGAATCGTCATATTCGACGTTCCCACCTACTGGACGGTAAATATTTGTTTCACGGCCAGTATTATAAAGACTAGATGAGACGACGGCGAAACGACACATAACGAAATGGAATGTTCCAGATATACAGCAGACTTCAAAAGGATAGAGCTATGTTTTCGCATTCTGAGATCTGGCGTTTTTCACGAATGGGAACAGCTTTTCCAAGTTGGTCCTTGGTGATTGGATCTGGGTTGGTCCTTCGATATACCCTTCACAGCGTGGGGATCTATTCACGTCACAAACTATTGACGGATAAATTAGGCGATAATATGATTCTTTGCCGGGGCGATCCTACGCATATGTGGAGTTCTGGTTTTCATAGCATTATTTAATTTACATGGATATCTTGAGAGTTGGGAACCCAGCTTAGAGATACGGACCGGAAGACGAAGTTGGTGCCTATTTAGGTATCCCTGAGTAGCATGTTGGAGCTTAGGTTAGGTAGGTAGCTATTTGAGAAGCAATTGGCTTTGTTTTGATAATATGTTTGGTGTGACCCTACGAAGTATTAATGCAAGTAATGGAAGCATGGCCTTCACGAGAAATACCTAAGTTAATATATCCTAAACGTGGAAAAACACGAGCAGCTTTTGACCTAGGAAAATTGACGTCATGGTGACTATATATGCTAAATAGTGTAAAGTAATCTGTAAAGTAATCTGATAGAAAAGAAATGCTACCCTGCCCACCGGATAGCCTACCTGAATTATGGATTACCTACCTAGGTACCTATACATGTACGCTATCTATCTACTTGCGCACCACATAATGTACCTAGCTGTTATATGTAGCAGTGAGGCTAAGGTGCTAGGTAGGTACTACGTATGTAGACTATAATTCACTATGTAGGTACCTAGGTATATAATAAAACCTTTCGGTCTCGATCTCACTCTTTGCTAAAGCTGCTCTTCTTCACGCCATCACTCGTTTTCGCCGTTTGACCAATTTTTCCTAAGTTTCTTACTCGATACCTATTTATTTTTGCATTACTTACCTTAGGTTTAGGTACCTAAGTTACTTACCACTCCTCTTTACCGATCGTGATTAACGCCGCATTCCCGAACCCGTGAAATTTATGGGTACTCGGGCCCGACCCGACGGGTACACCCGATCAAGCATGACAGCCCTTACTCACCCGCCAAGACACATCATCATTGGCGTCGTCGCCTTCTTCCTCGTAGCGTGCTTCGTGCTGTTCACGCCTCCATCGACATCATACCACAACACCCCGCCGTCGTCGACTGTTCCCTTAAGGATCGACCGGTCGTCGCCCCCCGACGTCAACCGCGTGGCCAACGGAACCCTAGGCTTCGAGAAGATCTTCGTCGTGGGCCTCCCGGAGCGCAGCGATAAGCGCGATGCTATTGCGCTTACGAGCGCGTTGACGGGGTTCGCGGTCGATTGGGTCGATGGGGTTAGAGGGGAGACGGTGCCGGATAAGGCGGTGCCGTTTGGTGCTGATAGGAAGAAGTTGTGGGAGACGAACTTGGGGAGTTGGAGAGGACATATGAATGCTATTCGCAGGTACGTCGAGTGGGAAGGGGGGGGTTTAATAAAGGGGACGGAGCGAGTCTCGAATATCCGCGTGCGCCCTTGTACGCGACGAGGAGGTAATTCTACTAGTAGCCTTCGTGCGTCGAGTAGGGCTTGGCTAGAGTTAGATGCGACTTGAGAGCCACGAGAAAGATTGAGAAACATAGGAAAATTAAAATACTATAAGAGAGAGGATAGTTTTGATATGGGCTAGTTAAGGGGTTGACACAGCAGCGCCTGGACTGACCTATTAATTATATAGGATCGTCGAAGATGACCTTGGATCGGCTCTCATCATGGAAGACGACATGGATTGGGACGTACGGCTTAAACCCCAACTAGAGAGAATCGCCCAAGGCGCCAGGGCTCTTCTCTCCTCCTCCACCTCGAAACCTAACTCTCCCTACGGCGACGATTGGGATCTCATGTGGCTCGGCCACTGCGGCGAGGTTTTCCCCGAGACGCTCGACGAAAACAAGGAGAAACCCGCCGACGACGCCGGCATCCAATACATGTCGCGCAAGTTCGTCATCGAGGACGATTCAACAGTTCCTCCCAGAGATCGAGTCACCGGCCTCGTCGACTTCAAAAGCCACCCCGAGTTTACCCGCTGGGTGCACATCACCGGCGCCCCCATCTGCACATTCGCATACGCGCTTTCGCAGCGGGGCGCTCGGAAGGTCCTCTTGGACCTGTCGGTAGACCACCTAACAGGGCCCTTCGACAACGCCCTCGCCGGGCTCTGCCGCCGCGCAGTCTCGACGTGGGGCGTCGAAGACGGCGCGGTAGCCGGCGACCGCGGTCTCGACGCAAAATGCGTCAGCGTAACGCCGCCCGTCTTCTTCCACCACAAGGCCCGCGGCCTTGTGAATGCCGACAGCGACATCCAGACCGTCCAGGACGGGCAGGTTCGGGACAAGGGCAGCACGGAGAATATCGTCTGGAGCGCGAGGAATAACATTAAAAATATGGTTATGGGGACTCGGATGGAGAGTCAGTATGAATAAATAGGTCGGAGTGAGTTCGACTGTGGCGTTGGCTTGGCTTGTCTTGGCTTGTCTTGTAACACTTGGGTTGCGCATGGAATGTATATTGGGACGGAATGATACCACACCTCGATTCGAAATATGAGGGCTATAAACGACGGCGCTGGTGAGATTCGGTAAATTGGGAACGTGGCTCCTACCTACTTCAGATAGAATACTCGTAATACCTAATTAGTATAATTACACGGGTTGGAGCTGAGTCTGCTTCTTCTAGTATGGGCTAAAAAGGACGTTATCGACTCGACTTCATTGTACGATGTTAGGGGTCTACTACTACCCCTTTCCTGTCAGAGCCTCCGTCAGCTCGACATAGGGTGAATTTTTATCCTGCCAGCGTGTCACGAGGTGGAACCAAACAGCATGGAAACAACTTCGTTGTTCCGCGAGGAACTCTAACCTATCTGGCGAGCCCGTGGCTCGTATATACATGCATGTTCTTTGTCCTAGATGTCTCATCTAGAATCCTGACACAGCGTACGACTGAAGCGGTTTTCAGCTTGGAGGCATTAACGCCCCAATTAGCTACTCTAGAAACTCAAATGACTTTTATATTTCCCCTTTTCTTACATTATCACGAGAAATCGTACAGATGCAGATATAAGAAAATGTTATGAGATTATATTTTCGTGGATATACCCTCCCGCACTCGAGTAATATGAGAGGTAGGTAGGTACCCAGATGTAAGAATCAAATATCCGCATCAAACCAGGCCTTAAATTCATAAACCGCAGCTCCAACATGGTCATTCATGTCGACTTCATTCGTATACATGCCGCCCTCCCTCATTTGGCTTTTCATGCTCTGGATATCTCTCTCCCCATCGTCTAGACTGTAAAGCCTTCCGAACTGCCTCGTGATATCAACTACCTTCTGGCTTCGTGGTCTACGAACGTGGTCGAAAGCGTGCAAAGCTGCGTCGATGTCGTCTTTCGACTTGACCGCGGCAAACACTCCGGCGAGTACCGCCGCATCCTCGATGGCTTGAGCGGCGCCGTTCCCGGCGTGAGGAGCCGTGGCGTGTGCCGCGTCGCCAACTATAGCAACGTGGCCGCGGTAATAGGTAGATGCGTGGTCATGATCCCATATTTCCCAATGCTTGTTTGGGTGTTTTTCGAGAAGCTAAAATTCAATAATAGTCAGTTTATGATTCGTATATCTAGAGTAACGTGGTTATTCTTGACTTACCGATACTAGCGAGGTGACTTCAGGGCAGAAATTCTTCCATTCGTCTGCATCAAAACCAGCTCTCTCGCAGTTACTTCGTTTGCTATCCCTCTGGTAGCAGGAGATGCTGTATGTCTTTCCTAGATCCACAGGGAGGCCGTTGACATACCCGATGGGCGTACAGAACATTCGAACCTTCTCGATTGACTCCTTGGGAACCACCTCTTCTGCTTCTCTCATTGGGACAAGGGTATTGAAGCAATGCCAGCTATCATGATTGACCGCTTCCGCCGTCGGATGATCAGGGCCCAGGATGAATTTTCTAGTAACACTCTTAGCACCGTCGGCGCCAAATACCAAGTCGAATTCCTCAGCCGTGGAGTCTGCGAAGGTGACGGCGACCTTAGGCGTATTAGTGCCTATGTTTCTATTCTCTTCCATGCCCACCGCGCGTTTTCCAAAATGAACACGGTGTTCAGGGATGATGTCCTCGAGAAGGCCCTGGATAAAATGTGCCCTATGAATGGTCCGTCTTCCTTTTGCTCTGCCCAGTTCTGCCACAAGCGTTCCAGCATTCTGCCCGCTTCCGACGATGATCTGGGTTGCCATCTCTGTGTCTTCCTCGTTGGCCATGAAATGGGACTTTTTGAAGTACGCCTTCTTGATCTCGGGTGAGATTAAGTCCATTGCTTTGATGGCATTTCCGTGAAGGGCAATGCCTGCTCCGCGAACGCCAACATCTGGATAGGCCTCGTAGAGATGTACATCAAGTAACGGGTTTCGGGAGAGCCCGATAGTTAGACAGCATCCCGCGATGCCAGCGCCGATTATAGCTACCCGGAGTTTGGGGACTTGGGTTTCGGTTTCGGTTTCGGTTTTGGTTTCGGTTTCCATGTTGACTACCTACTGCTGTTGTTAAATGAACGGAAATATAATGGGATCACTTCACTTTCCCATGCCAATAAAATCCTGGCGTTATGTGGGAAAGAGGTTAGACAAGATAGGATACCTATATATAGACATCGAATGAATGCAATTTCATAAGGGAAGGTACTTTCTATGACTGAACAAGGCTCTTGTGACTTCTAGCAGGACAATGACCTTGCTAGTCAGGAAAACACTAGCCTAGCATTACGACTTTGCGTCGCGCACTTTTCTATCCCTTGCCTTCCCCATCCAGATAAATTTAGCTCGGTCAAGCAAACCCACGCCTCTGTGAGGGGCTGGAAGGAACTGGCTAACGCGAACTCATACAGTCATCTCATCTCTCACGATATGAGGCTAATAGGAAAGCGCTCTTGCCATTTTGGAAGTGAATTTAAAGTATCCAATGATTCATAAGCAGCTGGCCATAGGCTCCCCTTACGCCGATGCATGGTTGCTTTCGGGGTCGTATGCTAAAAATCGCATAAATATCCCCGTTCCGCCTGGTTTCGTCTATTTTACCTATGGCTTGCAGCTGTGAACGGCTAGGTCTTGAAAACCCGGCCATTGCTCATTAAATGGTAATATTCTTCTTAGCCTTACTGCGCTTCTTATATAAATGGTGAGATGGGTTGAGAGTCTGGCGTTAATAGCTCTATTTTTTAAAGCGGCACCGAGGCACACACTTGAGCTTACTACCTAATACATACATGTAGAATTATAAGTGTTGATCTTAATAAACCTCGTTTGATAAGAAAGATGTCATCAGAAAGAGTTGAATTTATCTTGATGTAAATGATCATTCGTATTTTATATGTAACCTTTTAACCCAAAGATCTTATAATCCAGTTTAAATTCAACGGGCATGGGGCTTTATTTTTTTTTTCCCGCCGAGGTAAAGTCACCGAATGTACCAGGGATCTTTACCGAAATCGCCGTATTTATAACGTAATTTCTAATCTAAGTGCCGTCGCGAAAACATAAACCCAGTCAAAGAATTATTATTTTCCACACCTAGTTCCTTGCCAAGTTCTCTTTAAACAATTCATCTACGAGCTAGGCAATAAGAGATTCAGCTGGTAATGGCAACACAAACCCAAGCAATCCCGCTCACAGCCCCACAGCCCGGGTCCGAGTCGGACTCAACTCCAGCACCGGTCTTGCCGCCTATCTCACGCCGGAAGCAAGCTTCGGTCCTCCTCTCGGCATTCGTGACTATCGCTCTTACAATAGGGTATAATCAAACCTTTGGTGTCTTCCAAGAGTATTATCTCTCGCCGGATCAGAATGTTCTAGTGCCCTCCCCGGCCTCACAGGCCACACCGCCGACAGCACTGCTCGTCTTCGTAGGCACGCTATGTTACGGGCTGACTTGGGCGGGTGGTATCCTTGTCAATCCTGTGATATCGCGTATCGAGAATGGAACTTGGGCTCTAGCCACGCCTTCGAGTCGGCGATGGCGCCGTAGGATACTACGTTTCTTAACGCCAAGGACCATCACCACTTCAGGAGTAGTTATGATGTCTGCTGGGTTCGCGTTGGCTTCTCTCGCTAGTTCTATATGGCAGCTTCTGCTTACGCAGGGTTTCCTGGTTGGCCTTGGAATGTCACTCTTGTACTTCCCACTCCTTGCACCAGCGCCCGAGTATTTCACCAGCCATCGTGCTACCGCCATGGGCTTCGTAAGTGCTTCATCCGTAATTTGATTTCTGTATTCTTTAAAATAGGTTGCTGCAGTATATTATATCCGGCCGTCCAAACAATGTGGTGTCATCACTGAAATCCTTGAAAGCACTTCCACTAATCCTTAGTCCTCCTAGATCCTGGCCGGTGGCGGTACTGGTGGTCTCATACTTTCGCCTGTAATCCGCGCACTTCTTAGCTCACTCGGTGGCCGTTGGACTCTTCGGATTTATGCTATCTTTAATCTAGTCGCCGGGCTACCAATTGCCTGGGCTGTACCGCGAAGTCGGTTTGCAACAGTCCCAGCCCGAGAACGACCCGAGAGGCGAAACACCCACGTCTCACGCTCCTTGGCCGTAAAACCTGTGTTCCTCTTCTCTGTCGTGGCTGCATTTCTCCAGGTTAGTACTCAAGAGATCTCCGTCTTATTACCAGTGGGATGCTATCGATTGAAACTATGGGATAACTTACCTCTGACATTTATGCTCTGATCCCCAATCCCCCTCTGTCGCATCCATCTTTCAAGATTCTGTAGCTAACCCTTGTAGTCGGCCGGTGCCCAACTTCCCCTCTCCTTCATCCCTTCCTATACAGTAATTCTCGGGCAAACTGCCTCTAGTGGCGCCAATCTCCTCGCCGCCAGCAACGCTATAAACGCCGTATCCCGCGTCCTCACCGGCTATGCCGGCGACCGCCTCGGCCGACAGAACACACTTTTGTTGACACTCTTCCTTGCTGCATCTAGCGTATTTGCCTTCTGGCTTTCTAGCATTCTCGCAACTGCCTCATCGTCGTTCTCGCTTTGGTTGGCCTTCATTGTGCTCTACAGCGTCTCAGCCGGTGGGTATTATGGGCTATTCCCGGCGCTTATTGCGGAGGTTTTCGGGATCCAGCAGTACGCTGCTGTGAACGCGTTCATACTATTCGTAAGGGGGCTGGGGACTATGTTCGGAAGTCCCGTTGGCGGACAACTGTTGGGAAGTTCGGAAGAGGGAACAGGGGCGTATGTTAGTATTGCGTATTGGGATGGCGCGCTGTTAATGGGTGCTACAATGTGCTGCGTTGGGGTACGATGGGCTGATGGAAAGGGGAAGGGGTGGAAATGGATTGCTTAACGTGGACATGACCTAGACGTGTACAAGATGAAAATATCATTTTGCAGCTCGTATACTACTCGATTAGAACAAACGAGTAGGCTAGACTGAAGGGTTTAAAGCCATGCTAATCTCGGTATAAGAATTGTTACCCCTATGACCTATATTACAGTGGCACCTTAATAATCTACTTACCACATTGACGGCTTTTAGTATGTTTGCTATACCAGAATACTGATCTGAAAATATCCTAACATGTGCTACCAAGGTGATAAATAGAAGATGTAACGCAGACTGATAGCTTGATAATTATTAGAGATGCATCTTGATGTTCTCAGATACACCCTTCGGATACTTTCTAGTGTAACACAAAAATTAAGCATGCTCTCCCCCTTACAGATTAGACGCTTAGAATATTTGCCCCTTAGTGGACAATGATACGATAGAAGAGACATGCTCTATCCCTGACATGGTGTAGGGTTAATGCCCGGCGAGGTTAGTCATACACAGAGTGAGTGTACAGGGTAGGTAGACCAAGTAATAGATTGTATTGAACTAATAACGCCTGGCCTTCTTGCATATATTTACCACGAAGGGATGGGACAGGCATATCTGAGTTGTGTCGAAGATGGACATGGTTTGGAAGACTACCGTGGGGATGGGGACTGGTTTAAGATCGGGAGTATCGAACCACTGAATAAGACGCGCTGGGACTTGATATTATATCCAGAAGTATGTCTCTTTGGTCCGTTCAAACACGTTATGAGTTGGTGTTTTGGATAACTACCGCACTTCTTGGAGAAGTAACCCGTTAATGTGAGTCGGATAGATAACATTCACCATCCCGAAGACTACACCACCGGGAAAGTATCTTATGCGTGCCGAGCACGTATTACCGTTTTCAAGCGCCTGGAACGTAACGCAGTTCTATATCAGCTGCGCCCATATTAATGTTGTTGGGTCAGGTGGAGGTATGCATTTATCCCTATTCCATTACAGAACATGAAGCTTATTGCAAGTAGGTAACCCCGGCCCAATGATCAAGTTCCCGGGTGCATACGACCTCTTCGATCCCAGTAAGTTTGGTTCAATCCACGAACTTGAATGTAATATGCTTAGGTATCTATAATAGGTATTTGGGTGCCTTTTATACTTGGGTCATATCTTGCAACGGATCTGTCCGGCTATGTCGGACCCGGGCCGTCTGTCTGAAGGGGATTAGTGAGTTATGCTTGATTCCTCCTCTCATAGGTAACTCCGCAAAGCGTAGGATATATAGCCTTAAGTCGTACAGGTTTTGACGTTACAATGCATACATGATGTATATTGTTTAAGCTCGGGAGCACGATGGGTTTAACAGCATGCGGCTGTATATTAGTACCATATGATAAATCGGGTAGTTTAAAGGAGAGATAGCTTCTATATAAGTCTACTCCGTTATCTATAATAAGTCACCTAATATCCTATTCTAACTTATATTTTCCTTGATACCTTTCGGAGAACATGGAATAGAAATACGTGTAGACCATAGCCTCATCTCTTTATACTAACATGTTGTGCTTTCTTATTATTTATGTAGGTACTCTTGGCTACAGAAGGGGGGGTTCGGGGATGTTCGCTCTCCGGCCTTATCAGTTAGGTCTAGAGTTCAGCATTATTAAAGTAGCGTGTGGTTTACTGGTGTCTAACTTAAGGGTTTTTATACACTTACATTAACGTTACTATGTCATACTTAAAGGAGAGATTCTAATTGCTTGTGCACGATGAAAGTTGAAGTATATGGTAACTCAGAATATGTAGAATTCATACTCTAGCCCTATCTATCTAGTAAAACTACCCGAACTACCAATAGACAAACATGAATTGAGAATACAACTCTATTAAAACATGAGCCGCGAACATATAAAATGTTGGCCTACTCGTGGGGTGGCCAGAAATACTTTATGCCATGTGACTACCTAGTGGTCTTGTTAACATCTGGTTGGGCGGCGCCTAACGACTGATCATGTGGTAGGCTGCTGCCACTGTCGGCTCGGTGCTGTATTTTGAGGGTGGCGTGATAGTCTGCCTCGGAAGCGTCGCCTACAGAATCCAAGGTAGCAAACGTAGCAGCGCTCACGCCAGTCCTATTGTTTCTACGAATGAAAGTTCGCAAGCCGGTGAAAATCGGAGACGGTATCCTAGGGAGTTTGGGAATTGGGATGTCTGGGCTTGACGTGGGTTTCTCGTTGGGCTGTGCTCGAGCCAAATATTGGAACCTCCTAAAGAAATTACGGAAAAGGCTCTCTACCGGGCTGCGAGGTATTGTATCTTCGGTGCTATTTGCCTGTTTGACAAAAAGCGTCCGAAATGCCGTAATTGATGCCATCATGACTGAAACTGCACCTTCATTATGTTGCCAGAAGAACTCCCAGGTGTCATCCTCAAGCCCCCTGTAGTGAAAGCCAGCAATTCTGACAATGGCGCAAATTACCATAAATATCGAGAGACAGAGGAATATGGCCAACCCGAACTTAGTGGATCGGCTGAGAAACGAGCCCCTGAGGACGATGATGGGGATACTAAGGACTAACACGATGTGAGTTTCGAGTATAATGAGCTAGTAAATGCGAAAATGTAGATAAAACATACCCATCAGATCAGAAAGAATGTCTAGGACCGTAACAAGCGCAGTAAGGCCCAATGTCTTTTTGTCATCTATAGTCCAATTGAAGCATTTCACTATACGAAGGTTAGGCTCGGTCCAGCGTTGGCTAAGAAATTATACTTACCTCTTCCTTCTAATCCAAAATACGGGCACACGATGAATGGTTCTGAGACGACAAACGCCCAAGATAATATGCAGAAAACCGTTATGAACCAGTAGTACCAATTTACCCTTCGTGATATATGCCAGACAAGCGGGCGCATGAACGCTAGAAAGCACCCCTTGACTGCGAAAGTCGTTGTCCATATCAAGGCCAAAAACGGGTAGCCATACCCCTGGAGGTTGATAAGTTCGGCATAATTGGCAAAGAGGAAAGGCAGAGGTTGAGGGACTAGGAAAGCAGCCGAATGCAGGTAGAGGGAATAACAGATACGGTACAGAATACCCGTGGCGGCACATAGAGAGGCAGCAGCGATGATTAAAAACGCATCGTCCAGATATAGGCGCTTCTGGTACGTAAGACGTACAGCCAATCGGCCGATGAAGCAGCAAAGTGCTAAGCCGGTTAATACTCCAATGGCCACTTGGAAGGCTCGCATATGAATCCGGCCGGATGACTCGATGAACCTCGTAGACTCTTGAGGGTCCAGAGAAGTATCCATGTTTTGTGTGGAGTTTGCCAGGTGTCGACTAGGTAGCTAGCTATAGTTGGCCTTTGAAGAACTGATCTGGGAAAGGAGGTCTGGGGGGATCTTGGGAAGCTAAATAGTCTACCGGTATTTTGTATTGCAAGCCCACAAGCCCACAAGCCCGACTACGGCATCTTGGCCCCTATTGGGGCCACTTTGAGTTTACTTCCGCGTAGGAAGCGTTATTTTCGAGGACCTACGACAATACTATAGAGAATGTTACCTAGCATTGGTATTCCGACAATGACCGTAGCCCTTCTCTAGTGATACGTGACTTGGATCAGAGCTTCACGGCGAGAGCTTTTTTCGGCGAGGCTTTGGTCAGTTGGGGGCCGTTATAAAATCAATTAATTAACTTAGCTACTGTCTTGGATCAAGGTAATGAGAGCCTATTAAAGGTTGTTGCATTGGGGAGAAAATGTTTGGCGTCCAATCTAATCTCGAGATCCTAAATATTTAATATACCTACCTACCTAGGTAGTTATACGTCGTACCTTGTTTCATTGTATTACTCGCATCCTGTGTTATGGCTGCTCGTGGCCCCCATTGTCCCCCAAACTGGCATTCAACTACACCTCCGTTATTTCAGTATCAGTACATAAGACTTGACGTCGTTCATTAACATAATAGGGAAAGGTTCGATAATTAGTATAGAGTGATGCTATTTACAGATTGCTTTTCAGAATAAGTGCATGCACCTGCCCACCAAAATTACTAGTAGAATGACATGGCCACTTTCCACTCACGAGACTTTACAGAAAGTCAAGATTACTGGATATTTTTCACAGCTACAAGTATTTCATATATATTGTTAGAATCGCCTAGTTGAGCTGAATCGATTGATGCTATTTGTATTGAGATGCGACCGTTTTTTGAAAAGTTATTGAAAAAGTAATCTTTAAATAAGCAAAGTAATCTCTGAATAGTGGCATGTAATCTGTGTATAAGGCTAAGTAATCTGTAAATAGTAATACATATACTATATTTTTTAGCTAATATACCGTATTTTATAACTGTTACTTATACCATTATAATCCTTATGATGAGACGCATCTAATGGTGTTAAAATTGTATAGATAAGGGGTATTTTAAAAACATTATTACTGAGTGACAAGTCTTATACTGAAAGACTTTAGACCTTGAATAGAGGCCTTGAATAGGTTGGTAGTGGCCTCGAATAGTGGCCTCGAATTAGGGACCTGGCAGCGCCTGTAGCGCCTGGCATGCTAGTTGTTCTAAGAAGGTTATGGGGCAGAATGGGGCCATGTTATTTTACTACTTGCACCTATTCTGTGGGGTAATTTGTCTGGAAAGCCCGTCATGGTAATCTGTAAGTAGCATCATTTTTAGTACCTAAGTTTACGAGGGATATTGTTTGGCTGATTTTAAATTTTTAAAATGGAAGAATTCTTTAAGAAGGAAGTTTGTCCGTGCGTAACTTTTAAGCGTTTTTATTAGGTATATTTTTTAAAAATAATGGATTTTACTAAATTCTCCATTTTTAAAAAAAAGGTCGAAATATGTACTGTTTTAAGCTTTTTTTTAAGATATTAAAGGTGTTAAAAGTGTTAAAAGGTGTTAAAAGTTGCTGAAAGGTATTAAGGTTCGAATCTTACGCTTTTTTTTTTTTTTTTAAAAAAAAAATTTTTTTAAAGAAATTATAGTAAAAGCCGGTATTTAAGTTTGCCGCTGCTATTGGGCTAGCTAGCGGGTAACGGGTTAGTTGGTGGCGGGCGGGCGAGGCGCGTAACGCGCCGACCGCCCGCCAATAGCGATACGTGATTGATTTTTAGTCCTTTATAAACTTGGGCTATTGTAGTGCCCTATAGGGGTGCCCTCTTATATAAACCGTAAATATTATTGGTCGATTTAGCCATTTTCTCTTTCCTAATGGAGGTGTAGTTGAATGCCAATTTAGGGGATAAAGGTATATTTAGATCCCGTGTCTTTTCCCTAAACATGTGGCATACCTCGTACTTGTATTCTTCTCGGTGTAGATGCTCTTCTTCTTTTTTTTCTTCCTCTTTTTTTCTTTTTTTTAGAAGGCAATTACAATATTGGTTGTGACCCCATGACGAGAACTAATAATAGTAGCAGCTAAGTGACTTAAATGAGGTACCTACCTACCTCTTATTTGAAGAGGGGCTGTATTGAATAGGTACCGACTTCAACTCAACAACCCGTATTAATCTGTCCGGTTCCAACTCTCTTTTACAAAGGTGAATGTGACAGTCGTTAACCCTTAGGTACCTAGATGAATTGTTTCTAGAGATGCTCTTCAATATCTTCCCACTCAGCCCGGCTAACCTGTTAGCTGTGTGTTTGCTGTTAATCACCGTGCTTTGGCGTCGGTATGCTGCTAAACACGCCAGTCTCGTCGCGTACGAGAAGCGCGACGATGTAAAAGGCATCCCTTCGACGTTCCCCTATGTCTTCCCCCTTCTAGGAAATCTCCCAATTATGTACTTATGGAACCCGAAAGACTTCGTCTTGAATCCCAAGTAAGCACTTCTTATGCCATTATCTATTCCAGTGACCAACCCATCACAGGAACTTCTTCCAGAGCGCGCACCCTGTTCTGGTCAAAATCCTTACTCAGGAGTTCTACGTGGTCCAGGGCCCAGAGAACGTCAAAGCCCTCTTTAAGGCTTCTTCGGTGTGCACATCAATCCCCTTCGTCAAATTCGCTCTTGGGTACGCTTTCGGCTTGCCAGCTAAGGCCCTGAGTTTATATGACAAGGACGACTCTGGTGGTGGCCATGTGCCTCACCCGGGGAGCACGGTGGAGGCTCGCAACCGTATTGACTACCGCGGGCATCAGTCCATAGTCCAATTTCTAGAAGGCAAAAAACTTCTGCCTTTCTGGAATAGGTTCGCAGACGATATCACGCGTCAATTGTATAATTTGTACGGTCGCATGGGATCTGACTGGGAATACCGCGCTGATCTGATGAAGACCATTGGGGATGAAGTCACGGTCTCGACCCTTAATGCTCTTTGCGGCCCATACCTCCTGAAGCTAAATCCAACTTTCCTAAAGGACTTTTGGGACTTTGACCGCAACTTACAGACTTATCTTCAAGGTACAGCACCGGGAAGCATATGGTAGCGCACTTGGCTAACCCTGTTCACAGGGATCCCTTGGTTTCTTGCGCCGAGGGCTTACGCGGCTCGAAAGAGGGTCCTGAACGCCGTCAAAATCTGGCAGCAGCACGCAAGGGATCACTACGACGACTCCGCCATGGGTGCCGACGGTGACGACCCGTTCTGGGGGAGTAGCTTCTTTCGAGAGCGGCACGAAATGTTTCTTGAAATGGACGGTTTCGATCACGCTGCTATCGCATCCCTAGATTTCGGAGCAATATGGGCGTAAGCTACAGTCCCGGCCCCTTAACGTCAAGATTGATACACGCTAACTTCTCGCATAGAGTAAGGAATTCTATCGCTACTGTATCATGGGCTATTTTCGAAATATATAGGGATCCTGAACTGCTTGCTAGTGTGAGGGCCGAGGTCGATACCTGTGCTACCAGAAGTGCGGATGGCCGCATCCAGTTCGATATAGACAAATTGCTTCGTTTGCCAGTCCTCCAAGCTGTATATGCTGAGACCTTGAGACTTAGGATGCACTTCTACATCATTAAGATGCCCGATAGGGTTGACATGAAAATCCGAGACTGGATTATATCGAGGCGAAAGGTAACTGTTACGTTGACGACAGCTGCACATATGGATTCCAAAGCGTGGAACACTGGCTTAAATAACGAGCACCCCGTCAACGAGTTCTGGGTTGGACGATTCCTTACTTATTATCAGTCTGGAAGTGAGCCCTGCAACGGTCAGGCGTACGGTTCCACCCCCGCGTTTTCAACAAAAGAGTACGAAGGATCATGGATTCCCTACGGCGGCGGACCGAGACAGTGTCCCGGCCGGCATTTTGCGAAGCGCCAGATATTACTGACCACTGCCTTAATAATCAGCTTGTTTGACTGCGAGATATCGGAAGAGGGAAAATCTGTGCAAGAAGATTTGACGTTGAAAGGATTCGGTGGTGGAATATCGCATCCCATTAACCCAGTGCCAATATATATAAAACAAAGGAGATGATACTTAATGCTAAAGGGGGACTGGCCTTTTAGCTAATTGATTCATTAGATTGAATTCAAAGTTAAAAGAACGCCTCCTTTTAATACATGGGTTTTCTTACACATTATGGCATTAACACATTTCCCTTTACCCTTTACCCCCACATCCTCGTAACCCCGCCCCCTTACTCCCCTATGCCAATTGCCCATTCATGACCTATGGCTTGTAATATAATGGCTCGTTGAAAACATGGTATCGGTGTCCTCTAACACCTTGTCCTCTGAATAGGGCCGGGAATCTCCATCCTTCGGGAACGTCGTGCTCTTTGGCCCTGCGGTTTCTTTTTTCCGAACTAGTTTCTAAAGCCGCGACTTGCGCTTTTTCGGCCTCACTCTTGGGAACTACGAATTTTGCGACTTGCAGCTCGGTATCGGTGATGGTACTTCGAGACACCCTCGCGTATCCTACCCGCTGTAGGCGTTTATACAAGATATATTCGCACCAGCGATCCCAATCGCGGGGATCTACGTCGTGCATCCCTGAAATATCGGAGACGTACGTGTTATAGTTGCCTTGAAGGGGCTTGGTCACTAGGTACGAGAGCAAGATCGACGGCCTTGGTGATGAACCCATCAGTTTAGACATATACTCGGTTTGTAGGCGGCGGTCTTCTGGATCCTCTTCCTGACCAGAATGGAACACAAAGACGTCCACCAATTCACCGTAAACATCAAGGGTCGCATGGATAGCAGGAGCTAGTTCACCTACGGGCGACGGAAGTAGATGATGTGTCGAATTCATAATAGGGAACTTTGACAAGAGCGCGGCACCCCAAGTATGCTTGTTCGGCCCAGGACCATAGTCGACATACATGCCTAGATCCTCGGCAAGAAATTGGGTTGTATCCCTATTGCCCATTATAATACGTTGTAAGTCGGACTCTAGTAACCCGATAACGTCGATTTCAAGTTCTTTTACTAAATCACGTATGCGATACTCAGAAGACCACATGTCGTTGTCAAGAGAGAAGTGGATGGTCCAAATTCCAGCAGTGATGAGTTTCGAGTCATTGTGGTAAGGCTTATAGTCGTTGGTCGGAAAACGTCGTAACGCAGTGGCGACGAAAAAAAGATGTATGATGCCTAGTCCTAAAGTGTGATATTTGCGATGTCGTGATCGAGCTGGGGGTTCATATATTTCGCGTTGGCGCGAGTGTACCGACGTGATGTTGAATATACCGGCGCCGATGAGCAACATCATTGTCGTCATGATCCAATCCGTGTGTTCGCGAACGAGTGGTCCCCCAGGGACGAAAGCATAAGCAACCACCCAGACATGGAATAGAACCATCAAGTTATATAGGAAAAATCCAAGACCGAAAGTAGTGGCGGGATTCTTCTTAGAGGCAATGGTAATGAAAGGGGTCGCAATAGCTGTTAAGTAAAAGGCGATAGTAAGGCCACCGAAGTACCCGAACCAGCCAGGATAGAGAGTGAGGACGGCCGCTCCGACGCACCCGACGCCATAAACAGACCAACTGCTAACTAATCGCGGTAGGCGAATTCCAGTTAACAATCCAGCTGTCATTGCCACTATTGTGAACCAACCGTGGGGACCAGAGAGAGGACCTCGGACTGGGTAACCATCCCACACCCATAGAATCATGGTGCTGGTATCAGAAAGTAGTGAATGCAGACCAAAGAAGAGACCACCAATTCCCAGGGCAGCTAAGAATGCTGAACCATTCTGCTTGTCATCTTCGGCGACGCCAGTATTAAGAGGCGCTCTACGGGTGAATCTGAGCGCAGCAAATACTGCTAACACCAATCCAGTCCCGTTATAGCCACCGTTGGCAGCGTGCATGATCGGCCATATCGGGTTGTTAGTTTGCCATGCATATTTGACGGCCGAGGACATTACTAGACCAACAGTCCAGGCTAATATTTTCGACTCGAGGCGGACCGGGTGAACCGATTCAGAGAACAGAGTAGCGGCCCATGCTAGACAGGACATTGCGACACCAAAACCAACTGTGAATAGTCTGTAGGCTGGACTTTTGACCTGCCACGCAAGAAGGCCGGCGAGAGACAAGAGATGACAGGCGCGTAGATTCTGAGTAATGAGCGAGCGGAATGGTTTAATACTAAGAAGTAAGGGCGAAATTGTAGACATTACGAGCGCTTCGTAACCGGAGATACCCATGTGCCAAAGTGGGAAGTACCAAATAACTACGCCCAGACTTGTGAGCATAGACCAGAAGACGAAGCCATGGTAGACCTCGGCAGCTGTGTCGAATACTTCAGGCCAAGAAAACTCAGCATCGAAGATACCGGCAGTAATCTTTCTCTTTTCTTCTTCGAGAACGGCGGTCGCTTGAGGCGATACGTTGACCCTGCGAAACCGATCAGAAAAAGTGACATGGTAATGCCGAGTCAACCGCATGACCGCATGACCGCATCAAAACTCGCCCGAACAGATGCCGCCGTCGCCCCTGAGCAGCTATGACATATCTGCATTGGAAAGACAAACTCGCTTGAAATATAGGAGCCTATTACATAGCGTTTACTCCATAAAGCCAGTTGATTATCGAACTCATGACAGATTCCGTAAGGGGATAATGTTCGTGATAGGTTGTACCCATCATGGAAGTCCCACAAACTAATCTGGCCAATGATCATCTCAGCGAAATAACGATATCCATAGACGAGTAGAGAAGATCTACCTTATCTTGGCTGGTCTATAATACTTATCGACCTCAATTGCTCCAAATATGCGGCTTCGTGTAGAAAACAAAATAGGGGCGCAGCATCTAGTCCCAAGCGAGTATGCACGTCATATTAAGTCTACCTGGGGAGCCGTTGTACGTACCCCTTACTCAAACCTTTCACATCCCTAACTACAATCTCGAAAGTATCGAAGTCGAGAGCAGTAACCGCGTCAAAGGCGACATCAAACAGGATAAGAGACCACTCGAGGAGCGAATAAATAGTGTAGGCTGCAAGTAATGAGCAATTTCTCCACCCGAAGCTTTGAAATAACGCGTACTAACCTCCTGCGATCCGGCGGATCTTGTGCTGAATGAAGAAGTAGACCATTGGGGGTATCATGCTGAAGAAGGCCGTTGCGAAATACTTTCTATACTTGATAGCTTTCCGGTTCGGTGGACTCAAGGCGATACAGCCAAAGGTCCAGGGTATAGTAGCTATAAGGTAGGAAATCATGAAGATATCGTGCCAATCATGATCGTCGGTCGAGGTCACGTAGGTCCACCCCCCACACGTAAGAGTCCTGAAAATACCCACACCAGCGATGAACTTGGGGAGGGCCTTTCCGGGCTTCGCGGTAAGGAGATACCAAAGGGTGACGAGTGCAAATCTAGGTCCGGAAGTCAAAGCTATGAAGAGCATAAAGAAAGATCGTTCGGGATATCGATCGCCTATGGTGGCAGAAACAGAGGGGAACCATTCGTCGGGATAGCCATAGAATTCATTCTTGACGATCTTATGGTAATGAAGGTACATGCCCACGGACAGGGCACTCAGGAAAGCGGCTGTTTAATCCCATTGATCAGTTGAGAAATGGTGTTTAGGGAGGGGCGCATATTTCACCAACCGTATGCGACAACAGTATGAACCCACGATACCCATTTCGCATTTAAAGTGGCTACCGTCATCCCGGTGTCTTTATCTTTATATTTAGATGACATATTCGCATTCCCAAGTTGGGAGCCGAACGAGCCTTGCTTGGGCAGATGTTAGAGTTGAGTTGCAAAAACCAAACCAAGAGATGAAGATAAAATCAACAGGGACAAGTCGCAACGAGCGCCGAGGGAAAGAGGCGGTTGGAAAAAAAGAAAGTTGCGTCAATGTTCCAATGCATGTGGTTACCTTCCTGCCTTCCCATTTGCTTCTCCGGATTTCTCGGTGGCCGCAATGTTAAATTTTAGGTACCTTTGTGTGGGTCGATGAGCCAAGAAACTTGGGTTCAATCCATGCTGCCATGCTTGTCGCGTGTGTCGTGCACGATGATAGGTACCTGCCGCTTGGTGGTCCAAGCTTCTAGAGGCTCAAAGGGTTTTATTGCTTAAGGTACCTAACCAAATATTCAAGATCCAAGATCCCACTAAAATTTAAGTCTGGGACGGCTGGACGGGTACCTATCTTATCTTTGAGATCCACTATAATTTTATTTAGTCTTTTGAAACTTTTCCCAACTGCTGCTTCTTACACAGAACCTATTCCCCAAGATTCCAATCTGGTGAGCAGACAGTCACCATGGCAGGCGTCCCCGAAAAAGCTCGATTCTTTCTCGAGCAAGCCGTTCCCCAGCTACGCGAATTTGAGGCTAAGGGCATATTCACTACCGACGAGATCCGTTCGCTAGTACGAAAGCGTACCGACTATGAGCACCTTGTACTGTCGCCTGGAAACAAGCCGACCGACTGGTTGAACTATGCCGCCTGGGAGAAATCCCTCGAAACCCTACGCGCGAAGCGATGTCGTAGATTACAGGTTCGCACTTCTTCCAAACACACGGGACAAGGACGGGTTTTCGGGATCCTAGAGAGGGCAGTGAATAGGCACCCAGGGAATATTGAACTCTGGAGGGAGTACTTGAATTACGCAAGAGATATGAAGGCGACCAAACGTTACCGAAAGATCATAAGCAGGGCATTAAGAATGCACCCAATGAAACCAGAACTTTGGGTACTGGCGGGTAGGAGGTCAGCAAACAGCGGAGACATGCAGGCGGCAAGGGACTTTTTCATGCGCGGAACTAGGTTTTGCACGAAAGACGCGACAATCTGGCTTGAATACACCAAATGCGAAATGCAGTGGCTAGAACGGATGGATGCCAAGAGAGGGAAGAAAGGCGGCGCCAAAAGAGCGATTCAAGAACAGGCTGAACAGAGCGACGATGAAATAAAATTCGCCGAGGAGAGAAGCGACGATGATGACGATGTTGATGAAAATGGCCAGCTCGTTCTCCCAGACCCAGGAAACTTCGCTGGGAAAATGGTTATTGACGAAGACACCACGAAGAAGTTGGAAGGCAAATCAGAAGGCAACCCTGCGCTAGATGGAGCTATCCCATTAGCTATATTTGATATCTCAAAGAAGCAACCGTTCTTCAACTCTACGGTAGCGGAACAATTCTTCGACCTCTTTACTACGTTCAATACCGTCTCCGCCCAGGCTCGACTCATCCAACACGTGCTGGACAGTATGACAGAGCTTTATCCCAACGATCCCGCAACATGCTTCTGCCATATCCGACAGCCATTGGTTAATGTCGGCATAAATACACCTTCGTATCCTAAAGCTCTACGGGAAGCGCTGGCCCATCTCAAGTCATCTCTTTCCACCACCACTGACAAGACTAAACTGGTTGAGAAGGTGGAATTGTGGATAGAGCCCATCCTAGCTTCTGAGGATCTCGATCCGGGTATCCGTACAGTGCTAGAGTATACCCTCCGAACATTACCTAAGCCTTAATAAAAACAAATTACCCCCAAGGCTCTATTTCACATTTTATAGGACCTTATTGAGTCTCGCCGCCTCGCTGCTTCACTACGTCCATTAAATACTCGAATTCGGAAGCGCTCACGCGGCTCACGCTTAGCCGGCTCTGTTTCAGCATCTGCATATTCTCAAGCGGTTGACCCGACTGGCCCATTTCACGAAGTTCCTTCAGTCCGATCTGTTTGTTGAACTTACTGCGGAACTTTACGTGCACGACGCTCCATTTCGGGTTATCGGGTTTGGAAGAAGCGTCGTAGTATGGTGCCTTGGGGTCATGTGCCGATACTAGCATACAGTAAGAAGCAAATCCGTGCAATCGGGGTGGAAAACACTTACGGTCGGGGGAATGTTCTTGCACAATCTCCATCGTACCCACGATGCCCGGCTCTTTGCAATTGGAGTGGTAGAAGAAAGCTACATCACCTTTCTTCATAGCCCGGAGGTTATTCCGGGCGACATAATTACGAATCCCTAATAAACTTGTAAGCGTCTAGACGTCATATACCTATATATAAAGCAGATATGGCCAGTCATCAGCTGGGAAACTGGCTTATTATGAAACGAAATCTTACCATCCCAGGGTTCAGGTTCTGTTCGCGACGCCAAGTCATCAATGGAGAATTTGACATCAACGCCGTTTTCAAATCGTGACTCGGGCTCAGCTTTTAAGAGCCAATATGACCTTTCTGAAGAGTCGCGCTTCTCATCCGCCTCGGACTTGGAGGCTATACTTGGCTGCGTGCTACTCTTCGCCTTCTTCGATTTTGATTTTTCCTACGACAACATTCTTAGATTCGTTTACTTAAAGTACAACAATGACTTAATACTACTGAAGAAAACACAGGTTCTTACTAGAAATGCCTTTGACTTAGGCAACTTCTTTGAAACCTTCTTCTGGTCTATTTTGGGGGGCTGAGTCGCGCCTTTTTCCGTCGACTCTTTCTCAGTAGTATTGGTTGCCGGGTCTGGAGCTGCTGGTTTGCGACGCGTGGACCTTCTTAGGCCGGTAGCGTCCGGCGCGGTCTCGAGCTGGCTTGCTTTTCGTTTTACCATGTTAAACGATTTAATTTCTCTATATTTAAAACAGGTTCAGAACGAACGAGTAAGATTCAAATTCCGGATATATTATTAATCGCTCGACGAACGACGTGAAGTTTGATGTTGTTCTAACTATCTAATAACGGTTTGATGCTTAAATGAGAGAGGTGCGGTGCGCACGGTCCAGATGCACGTGGGTATGTTCGATATATCTTTTTTACGAGAAGTCGAAGAGTCGAATCTATCTACTGCTTTTAACCTCAAAAAGAGAAATTATCTACCTCGGTATATATATGCCTAGCGGTAAATTTGCATATGAGTCCCCTTAATAGTCCTTACTAAAACACTAAACTATACCGCAGTTCCATTATATGACAGTCTTCTGCATCTCTCGCTGCCAATATTGTCCCGCCAATCCCTGCAAAGGCTGGTACCAGGTGTAAATGACGGCCATCAAGGGAACAATTTCGGATATGCCATGTTCTCCCAATGTTCGATGGAGCCATATATTTCGATACTCTCCATCGACTTCTTCGTACAGACATGGATCCATAACTTTAAACCACAGACCCCCATAAACAACTTCCTCAACGTGGAAATTTTTAGACCCCGCTATTTCATCCTTCATCGCCTTCATCAGCATGGGTATTGAGATGGATTTCTTCAACCCGAGCTGCGGTCTTACAGCATCGAGTACGCTTTTCAGCAAAGTCCCAAACGACATGTGCTCATACATGTATGCTTTTTGATTTTCGCTAGTAGCAGCAAGGATACACTGGTAATGTCACATTAGCTACTAATGTCCTCATAGTAAAGTTATATGCGGATAGACATACCATAACCTTGCCAGATGGACCTTTGAATCCATCTTCTTCGAGGTTGCGTGAGAGCCAGGCGTCAGCGCCATAGCAGCAATTGAGAAACATAACGATGTCGCACCGCGCCGCTTCGAGAACAGAACGAATGACGGGCCAGTCAATAATAGCATCATCGCCACGTCGGTTACCCCCTCGAGTTATACGAAAAGGCTGAGGCGTTGGCTCTCTGGAGCTCCTACGCCCGTGGCCAACGTAATAAACCACTAACAGCTCGTCAGGCTGTGATGCTCGAGTCCAGTCCCTTAAGAATTTGGCAGTTTTCTCGACGGGGTTATCGGGCATGATCCAGTAGTCTTCAGTTTGCCATCCCCACTTGGACAACGTATTCACTAGCTTAGCAGCTTCCTGCGCAGGTCCATATGCGCCATTGTCGAGGGGTTCACCGTCCCAATGGAGAACTATGGCCTTGATGGTGCGATATCTCCTTCTCGCTTCATTGGTGTTTAAGTCTGAAGCCGATAGTGTCAGTGACATTGTCTTCGAGCCGTCAATAATGATAGACTGTTCAGCAAGTGATTTTGTGATTGGAGAATCAATAACTTAAGGTATTGCACTTTATTCGTGTCTATTGAAATGATATATGGATAAGTAGAGGCTTTAGAATATGCTTGGGAGCTTTAAGGGGTCGTGACGAATTGGTACGGGGTAAATTAGGAAAAAGGGTTGGATTTCCATCTTACTCGGGGGCGGCGCAGACCCTCCTTATAAAATAGCTAGCCAGCAAGAGACAGTATTCTCCTCGTATCTTCTTCGAGAGCGCCATCAACTGCATAGGACCATTACTCTCAGGGCGTCCAGTAGAAGTTCTCAAAGTCCCGAAATTCCATCAACAACATGAATTTGCTGGATAAATATAGGCCGACAAGCGAGGGTCTGTCTCGGGAAGGATCACGAACTTTCCGCTCCCAAACTTTCCGCTCCCAAGCATGTACTCAAGCCGCAACTTGTTTCGTTGATTCTGTGTATATTTTGCACGAATCTATAGAGCGCCAACCCCAAGACACTCGTAACATAAAATATCAGCATATTGATTATGAGGCTCTTGATTATATGCTACAAGGAATTAACATTGAGCTCATTCAGCATGCACTGATATTATCGTCGGAGGCGCTTGGAGGCGTTCTCACTTCGCCCGCGTCTGGGGTGCCTTCTCCAAGCCCAGCTCCTTCCCCGAGCTTCTTGCCATCAGATAGTGAATCCAGTACCACCGACGGCGATCTAGAAGAAGACATTTCCCAGACTCGGGAGTTTCATCAACCATACGATGGCTACTATGTAGCGCCTAGATTTAGTTCTACCGCCGGATTATACCAATGGTCAAATTTTGAAAGTCAAATTGGTTTCCGCGAGGTTAGAAATAACGGGCTGCAGGACGCAAAAGGCAATGATGAGAGGGTATCTATCACGCCCAAGACTGGGGATATGAGCACTCGTACATATACAAAGCGGCGTAGGGAACTAAGCGATAAAAATCAAGATTCCGACGAGGGAAGCCTTCCTGCATCTAAAAGAGCTCTTTCTATACGGGAAACTCCACGCCCAAGATACGCCTGCCCTTCCTATAAGGCCAATGTAGCTCGTTACCTATCTTGCTCGCAATACCACCTTACTAAGATAAGTGATATAAGGCAACACCTAGTGAGAGCTCATCGAGGGCCAATACACTGCCCTCGGTAGGTATTCTATGATATTTGACGGAGAATTGTCTCGAGATGACCATATAAGACGTGCTTCTTGCGAGAGAAAGGAATTCGTTGATTTCGAAGGCTTAACGGCGGAGAAAATGCAGAGACTAAGGGGCGAAGCGGTGATGGGAGCGCCTAATGATGTTGAAAAGTGGTATCGTATATGGGATATCCTATTTCCCAGTGTTACTCGCCCTGCCTCTCCCTGCTATGACGGCGGGATGCTGGTGCCTCTAGGACTTATAGGGAACCATATAGCGACTACACTCCCTGCAACTATTGATCAGAGCCTAACTTCTGGGATGAGTATTCCACGGAGTGCTCTAGACACATATTTGCATGGGGCAGTTGAAGAATACCTACTTCGCTCAACTTGAAGATGCGCTTCAGCCAGCACCAACTTCTTGCCTAGCAAGAGAAATTAGACTTAGTTTAAACGAATTGGTTGCCACGGGAGCTTCAGTGCTATATAATTACAATCAGAGCGGCGAGCACGATGCAAATCAGATTAACCGTCAAGTACCGACCACTATGAGTTCAGAGCCAAACAACCCCCTTCCCAACACGCTCGCTGAAAGGTCTCCGGGGGCTAAAGCACAACAAATGAGGATATCATCTCAGACGGCTTCCAATGATGGCTCTACTTCTACTGAGGAATCCCACAGTCATGTGCCCGATATCACACGGCTGACATCAATTAGGCTTCCAAACCATAAGCGCCAACACTCCGATTCTCAGACAAGTGACCATACGTCAACACAAAGCCGAAGACCTCTCTCTAATGAGAGGTGGGAAGCATACAAAGATAAAATTCATCAGCTATATATAAACGAAAATAAAACGCTTCAGGAACTTATGGCGATCATGAAGGAGAACCATGGCTTCGATGCTTCGTGAATATTCTAATTGAGGGTATATAATATTTTATGCTAACGCATAGGATAGGGCTAAAATGTATAAGACGCAATTCAAAAGATGGGATTTTACTAAGTATAACAAATCTTATTCGTGTGAAAGTCCTCAGCGGGCAAAAGAATCACAGGACCAAGCACTGCACGGGCTTGCTGGTTCGTCAACAGAGGCGCCGGTCACCATTGAGGGCTCCCAGGACACTCATATGATACTAAATGATGAATGACCAACATTTTGAGTGCTCTTCTTAGACTTGTCCCTTCAATGTTGCAGGTGATAGCAGCTAGGTATAGACACGAAACGTGATAGTAGAGCTGCTTCACAAGCTTGGAATATCTTATACCTGCTTGTAATATCAATGGATTATATGCGGGCAGCATAATGATAACGATTCCACGAGCTTTCTTCTTTAACTTTGACAAGTTACGAATCAGATTTCATTTTTACATTTCATAATTTTAAATATACCAACACTTGTGCTTCAATTGGTTTTATACTCCCATGTTCACCTATCTATGTGCTATGTTAATAGGTAGTCGAAGCTTTGTGATGAATTAGACGCCAGGTAGTGTTAATATCTCGTCCTATACGACTAATTGCTAGGTCAAGTACCATGTTTTATAATATCTGGTCAACTTACGCTTATTGATAACCTGATAACCTATGCTTTGGATATGATGAAGAAATGAAGGGTCACATAACCAGGAAAGATATTATGCCTAACGAAGAGGGAAAATACGCGCTCCCAGATTTAGCATTGAGGTAAAAATTGTTTATTGGTGAACTTTCGGAAGCTATCCAGCTGGCTGGGCCATCATCAGCCTTGTTGATCCTTAGCGCTTATAAAGATCCCTAGCATCTCCATAATACAAGGCTAAGCTACCCTATCATGTCCATTTAAAAACGCATTTCGAAATTGGGTATGGTACCGCTGGGCTGAGTACTACCAACACAGACCAAGGGTTTGCCTTATTGGTTTAGTTCGGCATACAGGCATGCAAGCCAAGCTGGCCAAGCAACATAGTAGCTCATCCCGTGTAGCTCCAACGACGCAGTGTCCATTAGATTGACCATTCAGCTGTTTGTTTGCCTTCGAACCTGCGAACTCGATATCGCTTTTACCTAAGGGAGAACACGAAAAAGGATGAGGAGGCTTGCAGCTCTCCACATGGAACGTATCAATCCAATAAGCTGCCAGCTATGCTTGGTAGCAACTGTCACTTACCGACCCGGGTCTCTCTAATTTTCTTTTCTTTTCTATCTTCACATTCCGGGACTGCGACCTGCTTTCCTCTTGCATAATTTCCGGCTTCGTGAAAAGCCAGGAGTATAGTCGCAATGAAGTCACTTTTCCTATTGTTAGCCGTGGCGGCTAGGTTCTCGCCTATCTACGCTCAGACAGAAACTAAGGGAGGGGACGAGCCCACGGCTACCGAGTCAAATGAGGCGGTCACGCATACTGTCCGGGTCGGATTGCAACATGATTTTGAGCCTGATACGATAAACGCAAACCCCGGCGATACGATACGTAAGTCGTACTAGTACTTTCACTGAAGCAATACTTTAACATGTTCCTCTTAGGGTTCAACTTCTACCCCAAGAACCACTCCGTCGTTCGAGCAGACTTCAAGAAGCCCTGCATACCATGGGAATTAACCAATGACCCTGCTGAGAGCTTCTTCAGCGGCCCGGTGGAACAAGATACGCTGCAGACGCCAATTCCTACTTGGGATTTAAGGGTGAACAGTACAGACCCAGTCTTTTTCTATTGGTAAGTGTAACAGATCCTGAGATTATAATTGTGACGCTGATAAAATAAAAGCTCCGCACCCGGGTCTTGTATTGATTGGAAGATGGTTGGCGTCATTAACCCGGTATGCGTCTAGTGGCTACCTATCATGTTAACAATATGTGTTTCTAACTTCGGTATAGAATAAGACATTCACTTTGGATATCCAAAAAGAGTTTGTCGCGAACTCGACGTTTCAGCTCAGCCCAGGTGAAGAATTCCCCGACGAATCATCGCCCACCAGTACAGCAGGGTCGGGTAGTAATCCAACGTCGACGCCCGAAGACTCATCCGGTGGGTCCGGGGGAACATCACTCTCCGGCGGGGCTATCGCGGGGATTACTATCGGAGGTGTTGCTGTTGTCGCTATCATTATCGCCCTAGTCTACATCCTAGGTAGGAAAGGTGGAATCGAAAAGGGTTACCGACGAAGCAAGTTGATCAATACGGCGCCGCCGCAGATAGTCGAAGCGAACTATAACGACTATGGTGCCAAGAGTCCTCCTATGGGCTCGCCTTACGCCGTGTCGTACGCGGATCCGTACAGATCGCCAAGTCCGGGGGCCATAAGCTCTCAAGTTGGAAGCCCGCATAATTCGTACCTGGGGCATCCGAGTCCTGGGATTCCACCATACGGTCCTGCCAGCCCTCCTTTTCCTGGGCAGGAACAATACCCATTGTTGTAAGGATATCCATGCCATTGCGCCCCAAAACTTTGGAATCTAACATCGAATAGTGAGGCACCTGATTCGCAAAGGAATCCGCCAGTAGAACTCCCCGGGAGCATGGATCATCCACATTTGCGTTAATAAATAACGTATACGATTTAAAGCATAGCATCTACATAGATTGCTGCTCGGATACCTTCAGGTTATTCCGCATAAATACTGTAATGGAAAAATGGAGGGTTGGATATTGGATACCGATATTGCATTAGCATGGCGCTGGGGGTTTTATTGACTATTGCTGTTTCCATGATACCTAAATACACTGGTGCTATATTCATATGCTATAACGATATTTAGGTTGTCATGTTGGTTAGGACGGGAAATGGGCGGAATATAAGCCTGTGGTTTATATGGAAATGAAATTGCCTCACCTAATACGGAACGGTACCTTAGTGAAGTGAGCTTCGCGAACCCCCAGGGCGAGATAGGAAGATGTACTTTCCCTATCTTTGTTCTCATCGAGTTGGTCCGTATAGGTAACTGAGAGGCGCCTGGTATTTTATATTCCGAAATGATGGTTGAGTGTATGTATATCGAGTCGCTTAGACAAAATCCCGTCTTCCAGATGTCGTTTACAAAGCTACAACCGTGTGTATTTAAGGCTATGAATAAGATAGTAGGTAAATTGAAGATGTGAGTAAAAATAAAGAATTATGGTGTCATACATAGAGTTAATGTCAGGATAGTTGAATTGAATTACAAACGCATGCTTTTCTCTCCTATTTTAGTGGCTTTGCGCGCCTCTTATATACCCCTGGATCTATCTTTAGCATACCTCCTATTCCCTGATATATGAGTTCTTGGTCTTATATGTCTTGGCGGTCTAAACATAAGTCGGGGTTACTTTCAAGGTTGATAGATGCCACAGAAATAATATACCAGGATATAAACCTTAGTTAAGTCGAATTCCGTAATAGACGTGGATGATGATCTCATTCATTAAGTGAAGCTACGATGATGCGATATTAAATAAGAATCTAAATACCATCATTCTTATCCTTCAACGCTCCACCAATGCCCGTTTTATGCTATAGCGGGCGAACGGGGTGTTAAAGAACAGAGAATATAGTATAGATATCTCAAAAGCATTTCTAAATCATACATTTTTGATTAAGAAACACTGTTGCATTATCACGACGTCTTTTACCAATTAAGTTATTTATCATTAAATCCTAACGTCTCTAGCAACTAGTAGTCTATCATTTGTCTTTTAATTTTAACGGTCCCCCCCCCCCAAATGGCAACGTAGCAAAAGGAGCACGGCTTCTTTGATGTTTACTTAATGTCTATTTAAAGTCTTATAGTATTAAACACTGATGGGCACCAAGTGCCCCCTTTCTCGAGGCATAAAAGCTTTAAATTTGGAGCTTAATACTAAGTGAGAAATGTACAAAGCTATGAGCGTTGTTGATAGAATTATTAGCTACATATTGCCTATTAGTTCGTCAATAAAATTTAAAAATCGCTCTTAACAGTTTGTCAAACTCTCAAGCTTAAAATCGGCCGTTAAATGATATCAATCACGTATTTAGGTGATTGTGCAACCAATGGGATTATCAGGAATTAGGTATCTATGAACAAGAAGAAAAAAAAAAGAACCGAAACTAAACCCTTTCTGATATATTAGATGGCTTGCCTAGGTATGCAGGTATCTAATACGATCAGCATTATCTATCACACTATAAGACATTGTTAGTATATCCGAAGGAATACTGCTTAAGTCTCTTAGGTGAAGACTAACAGTGGATGCTTAAGATATATACGAGGTCATCAAGTAAACGATTATAGATTAAGGGAGAACTATATGGCATTTCTTCTATAATAAGTTAGAAAATATCCGCGTATTTGCACGGAGACTGATCCGGAAAGCGCGTGATATAAAGGAGCCTCGGAGGTACTGCTCTAATCAAATTGAGCGTTTACTAGCTTAGTGCCCCAGTCACACCGAAGTAGCTTCCATTCAAAAGCATACAATGAGACATACCATATGGCTCACATGGTCTTAATAGACGGTTTTAATAGGTTGCCGAGGTAGGCGTAATAACCTCAACCTTGTGCTGCTATCGTCTTGTTTAAGGAACTGTGGAATCAGGAACTGTGGAATCATCGAAGATTTGCTTTCATCCCAATAATGGTGAACCCATAAGACGAGGATGGGGAATAAATATATGGATATACCTCTTAGATAGATAAGTCGTACGGCTAGGAAAGTAAGTCTGTAAAAGCGTTGCCCCTAGGTGATAAGGGTCGATGGGTCAAAGGGTTATGATGGGAAGGCTGTCGATGGGGCGATAGTAGATGCTTCTTACGGAGATTTAGTCAAACCTGATTCGTAGTTTGGGTCGTGTGATCGCTCTTTGTTTTGATACGAACCGACTGCCTAGTATGTGCCATGCTACGATCAGTTGAAACATAAAAATTATTACGCAAACATCGGACGATCCGATTTGAATGGTGTAAACCCAGGTCGCTGTGGAAGGCTTGGTGGCCTGCTCTGGCGCCACAGGAAGTCCACCCCTCTCCTCTACGTAGGTACACTCTTCTATACATACACGATGTACAGTATGTACTTGGAGTCTACCTTCGGTACCTCCATCACGAGACTTCTGCTACGAGCATGCACTGCTCAATGCCGGCTGCGGTTTGCCCTTAGTACACTATAATCTCACCGCGACCGTGTACATGCAGCCTCCGATGCTTCGCATGATGCATAGTCGATAGGTAATCAAGACAGTGAGTTAAAATTCTAGTTCCAGCAATTGCCCTTTTGATCGAGGCTTAGTTGTAATTGGAGAATTAAGAGCTGCAGATTTCGGCCAACAATTCGTAGCAATTGATCGGAGCTACCGCAGAAGATCTTCCCTCCATTCTGCCATTATGACAGCCTTCTATTCTATACTACTACCTTGAAGATAAGGTGGCGAGAAGAGTTTGGGGGCTAGACTTAACAGAGGACATACCTATTGTAGGTACTTCCTAAGGCTAGCCTGAATTCGGATACGTCCGCGGGGGAGTCATACAGGATTGATGCCTAGTTTTAGAGGGTTTGATATTTGAACTTGTAGGACTTCAAAATGGGTCTCATGATATCACAAGTGAAGTTGTTGTTGCGTTTGTTCGAAGTGATGTGACGTTTGTGGTGAAGTCGGACCTGTCCGAATCTGTTTGATAATGAGCTCTTTGATAATAGGCGTTTGCGGAGACTGTGGCCAGCCATTCATTATCGAGTCTCTTCATTATCTAATAGGTACACAGCCACTTCAGCCAACTCAGCCTCATCGATTGAGGCCAAAGTGGGTTGTTTCGAACCCTCCCCAGCGTTTCTTAGTAGGCGATGCGAATCTGCCTAGCGTAGGGCTGAATCTTGGGAATTTGCGTAATTCGCCATCTTCCGTAGTCCTAGACGGGGTTTAACCTAACTAGGAAGATGGGATCTTTTGCTTTCCATCCATCGTCATGACCGAAACTTCTTGAAATGTGACGAAATACTCAAACCTCTTTGCATCAAGATATTGGAGATATAGTCGGTTGCCTCACGGATGTTCTAGGGGTGACGCTGGCGAGCCGGGTATCTTTGGGGGCCACTGAATCCTTCCCTGGTTTTTGTTCTTTCGAGGACGAGTGTATGGTAAGTGTATGTTACAGATAAGCGCGGAGGCCGTTGTTATGGGCCGTGGCACAGACGCCGTAAGCACCTTCGCAAATCTATGTAGTAAAGTGGTGATACCTTTACATCATTGAGGATTAGTTTTAACGAAGTTTTATATAGGTACCTATTCAACGTGGACATGCTGACGCAGCGCATCGTCCAAAAAGTAGCACTAATGGCATGGCACGTCAGCTGTATTCAATATTTGGCTGCTCATTTCGCTCCAAGTTAATCCGAAAAGCCGGAAAGAGTTATGATAAAAGCGATAGAAAATATATATTTCTTACATTATTATCTAGGTACCTAACGTAAGTTCCGTACAAGGAAAAGAATGGGGTGTAATATTTTTGGCAAGTATTGAACTTGTGACAACTTATTTAACCCGTACGCGTAATATGGTTGTGTATGGTTTGTGTTGAATTGGGAAATGTGTATTAATAGCATTGTTAATAAGTTATTGGGTGTGCGGCAAATATTGCAAAAATCCGGAAACGAGGATTGGGCACCGACAAGCGACACGGAGATGAAAATCCTTCACCATGCAACTGAAGCTTGCTAAAGCTGAGCTGAGCTGAGCTTGTGTTTGACATGTCTCGTAAGGTTCCCCTTTCCATCTCCCTGTGAGAATTCTTGAGGGTGTGTCTACAAAACGCGGTGTTGATAAATTACGAGCTTTCTCACTAATTGATGTATGAGGTATGTATGTAGGTATGCACCAATTGGTGAATATGTACATCTATAGTCCTACATCATATCTTTTTTTGCTGCCTGGGATTAGTGTAAATTACCCAGGGTAGGAGGTAGTTTTTCTACATGCCTACACTAGCACGAGTACCTACATTAGTTAAAAGTTAGCTGATTGATAATAGGTACCTTATCTGCTTATGTACCTGATAGTAAGAAAAAGTAATGTAGCCTAGAATTGGCACATAGCACGTGATATACAACCCTTGGCTAAACTGTTAATGGTCAATTGAAGAAGAGGGGTTTTCAAGAGAGAATGACTCTTTTGTTTTTCCACTTCTGCATTGTACATACAATTCATTGTACGTACATTATGCAAGATTTGGCAGAGCAACCCCGGACTTTTGCGTCTCACCAAAAAGGAACAAATAGCGAATTGCCAATTGTCGTGTTTCCCGTAAAGGTGTAACTTTCTGTTTACATGTTTACACAGAGGGCACGTGTCCACGAGAAACATCAATGTTCTAGATCACCAACCTTGGAAGTCAGATAGTTCTCACTTCTACTGTCGGTACAAATGCTTTTGCCGGTGTAAAGTGGCTGAGTGTTTTCCGATCCGGGGGATGTTAATTCTTACATAGTAATGCTGTACCAGGCAAACTACCAGGTAAACTACCCCTGGTATCTATCGCGGACTTTGCAGCTTTGCCACGCTGCGACCAGCTACCCTGGGATTTGGAGTCTTTGGGGCCTTGCATCGATGTGCGGGAAGGCTATGTCCTCCACACTTGACACCAAATCACATCAAATCACATCGAGGTCGATGACTCTCTCGGAACCCATCTGGTCGACGAGATGCATCATAGCGGGTGCAAACCGTCTGCAGGTCACCACCTCTCGCATTGGTAACTAGTTACTAGGTAGCTAGCAATCTAGCCCGTCTAGCTACCTATGTAGAGCTTACCTTAGGTTGTCACCCCCATTACCGCACACTGCATTCCGCAGAATTGGACATGTAGCAAATAGGACGAGTCGAGAGATCCGTTCATGCACACCCTTTAGTTACTACCTATACCTACATGTTCCAGAATTCCTCTCCGGCAGAACTACTTTCCTACGTTGATTCTTAGAGTCACTCCCCGCGCATGTCTCACGCCGCGCTTTGTATCATGCAAGTCACTATCCTATTTGCTTGGTCTACAATTCTTGTAACTAGCTGTTGTAACAGAAATCTCTTTACGCGCTGATGTCAACCGAACTCGCCTTTCCAGCCTTATGAG